TGCCCTGATGGCGTGGATGGCATTTGGGCTGGGCTTGGGCCCTGTCTGGGGAGTCCATCAGGGCTTTGATGGGGTTGTGAATCACGAGGGTTGGCTCCAGGGGTGATGGGGATGGTTGATGTCTCCCCACGAGCCTCCGAGCTCGTGGGACTTGAAACAAGGACTGGAACAAAGCCCTTGGGGCCTTGGAGTTGAAGGGAATGTGACAAAATGGTTTGGGCTGAGGCCTCAAAGGACTCAAGTTCCTCGAGCAACATCAAAGCTCCTGGTGGCTCTCACAGCTGCCATGGAAGTCACAGCACCATGGAATCATGGAATGGTTTGGGTTGGAAGGGGCCTTAGGCACCATCCAGTTCCATTCCCCCCTCCATGGGCAGGGTTGCCAACCACGAGATGAGGTTGCTCCAAGCCCCACCTGACCTGGCCTTGAAGCCAGCATGGATTCTCCCAGGTATTTCAGGCAGACTGGGTGGATTTGGGCTATTCCAACCCTTCCTAACTTGGTCATCCTGCCACGGGAATGACCTGAGGAGCTCTGTCCTCTTGTCTGGAGCCTCCCAGAAAAGCTACAAACCCAGGAGTGTTTTGGGCAGGGGTGAACAGAGCAGCTGCCTGCAAGAGGCCCTAGATGGTTTTCCAAGTTGTCCCTCTTGGGTCTTGCTGGGTTTTTTTCCTGGTATTTTCTGGATCCCACAATTTCCCCTGTTCCCCTTCACCAAACCCTGTTGCTGTTGCACATCTGAACGAAGGAATTGAGCCTTCCCTGAGCTTCCAAGGAAGGAGGAGAGGACCTGCCCAGCTCAGCCTGGTGTTATCAGGAGCCAGGCTGGACCTCTTGCCCTCTGTGCACCATCTGCACAATTCAGGGACACGGTTTGGGGGTGGAAACTCCTCAGCTCATCCCCTTGTCGAGCTCCACTTTCCCACCCTGAGCTGAAACACAGAGAGCTTCATCCTCCACACACCAGGCAGGAGATCTGGGGTCAGAGCCACCCTTTCAGACACAAAAAAAATTAAAAAAAAAAGGGAAGAAAGTGGGGAGAGCTGACATTTAAACGTCCCTGGAGCTGGCACTTGCTCCGGCACGGGGTGAAAACACGCTTTGTGTGCCTCCAGTCGCACAAAAAGGACTGGCCTTGCACAACCCACTGCCAAGGTCTGGCACAAACATGCCCTGCTGGCTGCCAAGCTCCAAGTGGGGGAAGGTTTTCCTTTCTCCAAGCTCCCGGGCTCTGTTTAGTCCTCGGTCCCCTTCGTGCCACCCACCTGGCCCAGTTTCTGCTTGAGAGATTCACCCCCCACCCCCCTGCCCTCCCCTCTCTTTTTTTAATGTCCCTGGGAAGCGTTTTAACACCTCCCCCTCCGTGTTCTCCTGGCACCATCTGCCCTCCCACTCCCTCCCTTGGCTTTGCCCTGGATTTTCTTCCAGCTCTTTCCACGCCTTCGCTTGGAAAAACTGGGTTGTTCCCTCTGCTTCCAAAGGGAAGAGAGACCTTGCAGTGGCCCTGGGTGTGACTGCAATGCCAACTTTGCCCAAGAATAGCAGCTGGGGCATTGCCAGCCCCCAGTCTGGCTCCCAAAGTTCTGGCAGTGTCCTGCAGGGACACGGGGATGGGGGCCAGGTGATGCCCCTGATGCTTTTCACCACCCAGGTCGCACTGGAGCCCCTCAAAGTGGCTGGTTACAGTGGGATTTTGGGAATTCTACAACCCCCCCAGAACCTGAAAGAACTGATTTTAATACTTAAACAGTGTCTGCACACAACAAGGTGTCCATTTGTCACAGCACTGAGTGTTGCCACCACAGGAACAACAGCAAAACACACCTTATCTTATTTCTTACTTTCATTTTCCTGTTTAATTATTTCTCCCCAAAATTTGTGTGTTTGTTTTGACTCCAGTGGCTGTTTAAACTGGGATTTGGGGAATTCTACAACCCCCCAGAACCTTAAAAACCTGTTTTTAACACCTAAACAGTGTCTGCACACAACAAAATGGACATTTTCCACAGCACTGAGTGTTGCCACCACAGGAGCAACAGTGAAACCCATCCCATCTAATTTCTTCCCCTCACTTTTCTTGTTTAATTATTTCCCCCCCACCAGATTTGTGTGTTTGCTTTGACTCCAATGGCTGGTTAAACCGGGATTTGGGGAATTCTGCAACCCCCCCCCAGAACCTGAAAGAACTGATTTTAATACTTAAACAGTGTCTGCACACAACAAGGTGTCCATTTTTCACAGCACTGAGTGATGCCACCACAGGAACAACAGCAAAACACACCTTATCTTATTTCTTACTTTCATTTTCCTGTTTAATTATTTCTCCCCCAAATTTGTGTGTTTGTTTTGGCTCCAGTGGTTGGTTAAACTGGGATTTGGGGAATTCTACAACCCCCCCAGAACCTGAAAGAACTGATTTTAATACTTAAACAGTGTCTGCACACAACAAAATGGACATTTTCCACAGCACTGAGTGATGCCACCACAGGAGCAATAGTGAAACCCATCCCATCTAATTTCTTCCCCTCACTTTTCTTGTTTAATTATTTCCCCCCCAACTTTGTGTGTTTGTTTTGACTCCAATGGCTGGTTAAACCGGGATTTGGGGAATTCTACAACCCCCCCAGAACCTGAAAGAACTGATTTTAATACTTAAACAGTGTCTGCACACAACAAGGTGTCCATTTTTCACAGCACTGAGTGTTGCCACCACAGGAACAACAGCGAAACACACCTTATTTCTTAGTTTCATTTTCCTGTTTAATTATTTCTCCCCCAAATTTGTGTGTTTGTTTTGACTCCAATGGCTGTTTAAACTGGGATTTGGGGAATTCTGCAACCCCCCAGAACCTTGAAGAACTGTTTTTAACACCTAAACAGTGTCTGCACATAATAAAACGGACATTTTTCACAGCACTGAGTGTTGCCACCACAGGAACAACAGTGAAGCATCGATATTCCCTCCCAACCCATCCCATTTCTCACCCTCACTTTCCTTGTGTTTAATTATTTCCCCTCCAACTTTTCTCTGTGTGTTTGCTTTGATTTATTTTGCTTTGCATTAATATTTCCTTCCTCTCCCCCCCCTCTCCCTGCCTTTCTGGGTGAAATATTCCTCTTGTTTATTATTATTATTATTATTATCACCCTCCCCTTGCTCTAATCTCTTTAAATGCTTTCTCCCATTTCCACTTCCTGCAGCCCCATTTCTCACCCGCAGATTTTTCTGTTCAGCTGCACTTTGCTTTAACAGCCCTCATTTATTTCCTGTGCAGTTACTTGGTTTTCATTTCAAAGCCCTTTCTCCTCTCCTGGCCTGGGCTGTGTCTCCTCCTGCATTTTTTTTCTGCTCGATTTGCTCCAAGATGAGCTGGATTTTGGGGAACAATTCATTTTCATTTGGGGTCCTTTTGTGATGGGATGGAAGAGTAGAAAGTTCCATTTTTTTTTTGTTCTCCCAGCTGCCTGAGACAACCCTGATATGATAAATAAAACAAACATGTAGATTAATGCACACTCTTTCCCTCCACGCTCCAGCATTTTTTCCAGCCTGATGTTGCATTTATAAGGAATATTGTTTGGAAAGGATTTTTTTTTTTTTTCCCCACAGATTATTTCTGAAATATTGTTGCCACATTATCTGTCACGTGGGTCTTTCACATCCTGGCTAAAAGGGGAGTTAAAGATCTGTGCTCAAGGTCAGAAATGGAGTGGAAAACTTGGCCAACAGGATGTTCATCCCCTCCAACCTTCTCTGGACACAGAACCACCGAGGGCTGGAACTGCAGCAGAAAAGAAGGAACTGGGCAAAGGAGGAACGACCAGAAGGAAAAGACTCATCCCAGGGGTTGGGAATGGGCCCAGCTGACCAGGATGCTGCAGGAAGGGGATCAGAGACTCCCCAGGGAAGTGATCATGGAACCAACCCAACCAGAGTTTAAGTGTTTGGACAACACCCTGAGGCACGTGGAGGGAATTTTTGGGTTGTCCTGTGCGGGGCCAGGAGCTGGGCTCGATGATCCTCCTGGGTCTGTCCCAGCTCAGGATATTCTGTGATTTTATGAGGAATTTGGGGACACAAAGACCAACTGGATGTTCTTTATTCTGTTTCCACATCATTTGTGACCTTACAACCCTTTCCTTTGAGCTTCCCTTGGTCCCTTCTCCCTCCAAAGGCCCAGGGTCCTGCTGAGGTGTCTCCTTGACCAGGACTTGTTTTGTTTCTCATTCCTTTTCATTCCCATCCCACAATTCAACTCCTGCAGGTGTTTCCATGATGTTTCCACGAGCCATCTGGCAAGAGGTGTCGTGGGAGCAGAAGGAGGGAGCCCAGAAACACCGGAGAGGTCACGAGGGACTGGAAAAACCTGGCGGAGCCCAGAGCTGATCTGCAGGTAACAACAAACATCGTTGCTTGGAAACCTTGGATGGTTCTGGAGGACAGGGGAGCGAAGCAGAACAAGAGCATCAGCCCCCATCCCTGCCTGGAGCATGGGAGCCTCTGAGGGACAACCTGCAGGCACAAATAATGGCATCAGGGTTGGAACTGGGTGATCTTTGAGGTCCCTTCCGAGCCAAACCTTCCCCTGATTCTGAGCTTGCTTTTCTGTTCCAAGTTTCTTTGTGCAAGTGAGATAAACCCCGGGTGACTGGGGCCAATCCAGCAGCAAATCTCCTCCTGTCCCACTTCCCACAGACACTGAGCTCCCATTCCATGGCAGAGAGGAGGGATGGAGGATGGATTCCAGGTGACACCTCCAAGAGAAGAGCCATCCCAGCCCGAGAAGGGAGTCCCGCCTTGGGATCAGATAAATTGCTCCCCAAATTAGCAATACAGGCAGAGTCAGCAGGAGAGGGAAAAAAAAAAAAACCAACCAGATCGGATCTGGAGATGAGATTTGAGAAAACACCTCCAGCTGCAGCTTTGTCATTGGCTCCTACGCACAAACACACCCAGCCCTGATCATACCTTGGGCGCTGTCACTCCCCAACCCTCAAATTACTGTAATCAGAGGAAGGAAAAGACAACTCAGTCCTGGTATAAAACCTTCTTGTGGTGCCCCATCCCACACCTTTGGGGCTCTGAGGGCTCTCCTTCAACCATGAAGGCTTTGCTGGTTGCCCTGCTGGCGGCTGTCCTGTGTGCCCAGCCAGGTGAGGAGCCTGGGAGAGCCGGGAGGAGAGGGTGGGAATGGAAACAGCAGCAGAGAAATCCGGGGAAACACAATCCCTTCACCCAGGGATGGGAGGGTTTGGCAGCTTTCAGTGCAGCTGGTGAGGTCTCGGGGGTGAAGTTTTGTGTTGGACGCGTCGAGGAATATTTTGGGTGGTTTAATCTCAGTTTCTGGGTGAGTTCTGCAAAGGCACCTGGAAATATTTGGGGTGGTTTAGTCTTGGTTTCTGGGTGAGTTCTGCAGAGGCACCTGAAAATATTTTGGGTGATTTAGTCATTTTTTTCAGGTTGAGTTCTGCAGAGGTACCTGGAAATATTTAGTGTGATTAAGTCTTGGTTCTGGGTGAATTCTGCAGAGGCACCTGAAAATATTTTGGGTGATTTAGTAGGTTTTTTCAGGTCGAGTTCTGCAGAGGCACCTGGAAATATTTAGTGTGGTTAAGTCTTTGTTTCTGGGTGAGTTCTGTCCAGGTACCTGGAGATATTTTGTGTGATTTAGTCTTGGTTTCTGGGTGAGTTCTGCAGAGGTACCTGGGGATATTTTGTGCGATTTCATCTCAGCTTTTGGGTGAGTTCTGCCCAGGCACCTCAAAGATGAGCTCCCCCCTCTGGTTTCTCACACCCTCCCCTCTGAAGACAGACACAAAAACGGTCACTGGAACTAAGCCAAGCTCAGAGCCCTTGCCTTTGGTTTTTATTTTTGTTCCTGGGTGAAACTGGAGGAGCTGCTGTTGACAGGAGGTTGTGTGGCTGCTGTTGACACCCCATCTCCTGCCAGAGCTTCCCTTTCCTCCCCAGCAGTGACATTCCAATTCAGAAATGGGATTTTTGGAAGCCCGAGAGCTCTTTGCTGCTGGGCTTGAGGAGCTTCTCCAAGTGGGAGCGTGTTTGTGTTTGGATCCACATCTCCCTTGTCCTCTTCCAAACAGGAGGTGCAGCTGTAACTGGATAATTCTGTGGAAAGATCCAGCTGGGAAATGTTGGCCCCGTGCATGTGCCTGCAAGCCCAGGGAGCACCACAGGCCCTTTTGCACCGTTAAGGTTATTTCTGGCTGCACTTCCTAAAATTCCAGCTCCTGGAGGGTGGAGCCCAGATGCAGGAAAGGTTTTATAGCAGCTCTAATGGCTTAAGCTGTTCTTGTTTCCTGGCTGGAAGGCATTTTCCTGCCCTCAGTCAGGGAGCACAAGTGCATTGCAGTGGCTTTCAGGCACGTGCTGGGGTCGGGGCTCCTTCTGCAGCAGGAAGTGGTTTGAACAACTCTGGCAACAAAAGGAACTCAGAGAGGGCTCCAGGGGCCTTAAAATGTAATAAATCCTTGCTTAGCAGCAGGTCTGGGGTTTGCTTTGCCTGCCAAAGGACAGGAGCCCACAGCTCGGGTTGGGGAACCTCCAGAAGAGAGAAAAGAGGCTGAAAATATCCGTGTGATGGAGCAACAGGGAGAGCTGAGCAGGGAGTCAAAGAGGAGTTAAAGCCAGGATTCAATCCGAGTTCAAAAGCAAGGCTGGTTTTATCTCCTGCTCTGGAGAGCAACTGCACTTGCAACACCTGGAAAAGAGCACAGAATCATCAAATAATTGAGTGTTTTGGGTTGGAAAGACCTTAAAAATCACCCAGCTCCAACCCCCTGCCATGGGCAGGGACACCTTCCACTAGACCAGGCTGCTCAAAGTCCAACCTGGCCCTGAAGCATCTGGGTCAGTCCAGTGCTGAGACACCCAGAGCACACTCAAAGTACCTGAAAACACAGAGGGGAGGCCTTTTCTCCCCCTGCTCGTGACAGTCAGGGACTTAAATGGCTTTTAATTCTCTTTCAAAGCTGCCTCTGGAGCTGCCTATCCAAGTTCATGGGCAGATTGAGCTTCGGAGATGAGTTTGAACCAAGAGCAGCTGGGCTTTGGAGGGTCCCTGGCAGGGATTTCCTGGCTAAAAACAAGTCCAGAGTCAGTTAGGAGAGGCTTCTGTGCAGCACTTGGAGTCTTGCTGGGCTGGGAAAAGCAGGAGGAACCAAAGCAGGGAAAGTTCAGCCACACAGAGGACCCTCCCTGCTTTATAATTTGATCACCTTCAACCACTAGCTGGTAAGGATGGAGCAGGACTTCCCCAGAGCAGCTGAACTCCCTCTGTCACCCCTGACCCAAAAGGAGGAGCATTCCATGGAACTCTGAGCCGGAGGGAAACAACTTCCACCAGCGAATCCACCTCCAGGGAGCGGGATGGCTCCGTGCCTGTGTTCCTCACACAAAATCCCACCTGGAATCTTAACTCAGCTCGCTTGGGTTGTGCCCAGCAATGCCTATCCCAGCTCCTCCTGGTTTGGAAACAGCCCTGGCTGGGTGCTGAGTTAATAATATCCCTGGGAACACGGCGTTCCAGGCGCTGAGAGGAATAACCTCTCCATTGTCCAGAGCAACCTCTCCCAGGGAACTCCCTTTATTGTGGGGCTGTGCTTAGTCATTTTGCTCCCAGGGGTGTCCCAGGCATAAATTAATTCATGTCTGGGCAGTGTTTTGTAGATGGTGCCTGAAAATCCCTCAGACTGAGCTCACACCTGAGCACTGGGCCAGTTCCTCCTTCCTCTCCTTGCCAGTTCTTCTCCTCCTTGCAGCTCGTGAGCTTTGCTTTTTGGAGCTTGGCTTCCAACCAGGCCAGTGTGGACCCTGGGGAGAAGGAAAAGTCACCCGGGAACGCTGCTCTGGCTGCAAAATGTGGTTGCAAATTTAATCCCCCCTCCCCCCAAATCTCAAGTCAACGAGGAAAACTCATTTTCTTCCTCTGTGTTTCCTCCCTCAGCTCCATCAATCCAAACCAACCCCTTCTTTCACTCCTCACAAACACTTGTTCACAACACGCTTCTCACCTCGTGTTTTCCCAGGAGGGAATGGCTGGAAACCACTAATCTGTGCCACATGTGCTGTGGTTTTTTTTTTCCCAGCTTCCTCCCTGTTCTGCTACACGTGTGAAAACGAACATTCCAACTGGAACTGCCTCAAAACCTACAAGTGTGAAGACCATGAGAAGTTCTGCACGACCACGTACAGCTCTGCTGGGATTGGTGAGTGCCAGCAACACATCCAGGCTTTCCTAATCTATATTTTTAGTCCTGGGAAATGGTGATTATTTTTTTTTTTCAAGTTCTTTTTGGAAAGAATCGATGATTGAGGTTTAAGGATCGCAACACGTAATTTGTGGATCCCTCGGTGGTGCTTTGTGATCATAAAATGGTTGAGTTGGAAGGGACCTTCAAGATCATCTCGTTCCCATGGGCAGGGGCACTTTCCAGTATCCCAGGTTGCTCCAAGCCCCATCCAACCTGGCCTTGAACACTTCCAGGGATGGGGAATCCACAATTTTTCTGGGCAACCTGTGCCAGTTCCTCACCACCCCTGTGGCTGGAACACACAGATTTCAGGAGCAGACGCTGTTGCTTGACCTGGGAACTCTCCCACGTGCTCTGGGATGAAGGATGGAAAGGGATTGGATGTAAATAATGTGGATTTAGAGGCATTTTAGTGGCATTTTAGAGGCCATTTAGAGGGAGATGCACTGGCAGTGATTTCCTGCTGTCCTACGGGAAGGACAGAATCCCACAGTGATTTAGGTTGGAAAAGGTCTCCAAGATGGAGCCCAACCTTTGACCGGTCTCCACCTGGTCCCCCAGACCACAGATTTAGGTTTGGTGTGGGTTTCTATCGAGGACTGCTTAGTGCCTTGCGTGGTACTCACCCAGCACTCATCAACCCCCCTGATAGCTGTTATTAATTACAATTAACCCCCCTCCTCCCACCACCCCCGGCTCAGCTCTTCCCTAAGAACCTCAAACTCACAGCTCTCCTTCCTCCTCCTCCTCCTCCTCCTCCCCAACCCAGGCAAGGACGTGGGCCACCGAATCACCAAGAAATGCTCCGTGGACTGTCCCGAGACGAACGTGAACTTCGGGGTGGCGGCTTTTTCCACCAAGTGCTGCAGCACCTCCCTGTGCAACTTCAGCGGCGCCAACAGCGTCCGAACCAGCTACGCCGTGATGCTCCTGGGAATCGCGGCCAGCCTGGTCTGCGCCGTCAGGGCAGGATGGTGAGGAGGGGTGGGACAACATGGGGCGACCCAAGAACCCTCGAGGTATCCCCCGAGGGAGCAGCCAAGCTCCTCTGTCAAGTGGTTCCAGCGGGGTCTGTGCTGCCCTGTTGTTATCCGAGACAGATCCCGTTCCCGACGCCACACGGCAGCGCAGCTCCTGGTTTTTTTTCCCCCCCTCCCCGTTTTATACTAATTTTCCCTGGAAAAGCTCTTTTGATAGCACAGCACCAGACAAAATAAAGATTTGTGTTATTCTAGAGTGTCTTTGTTAAATCCAGCCCGAGACAACAGCTCTGCCAGCCGGGGTTGTCCTCGGAATCTCCGCTTCCTGTTGAATTCCGTCCTGCGCTTCCGAGTCTTCTCCTGGCTGCCCTTCCCGGCTGACTCAGTTGCATCCAGACATTCCATAAAGCCAACTATTCTGATCTCTGGGAGCAGAGGTGTGGGTATGGGAAGGTCAGGGATGTTTGTGTTGTCCCCACTGCCCACAGCGGTGGGAATTGTGTTGTATCCGCTAGGACGCACGACCGGGGTTTGGCGGGAATTGCGTTCCCGCAAAGTTCTCCCGTGATCTCTGCAAGGTGGCTGGTCTCAGCTTTTGGAACAGGTAAAATTCCCACCTGGAGATGCTGGAGATGTCCGAGATGCTGCTGGAATGTCTCCTCCTGGGAAGGAGACTGCCATGCCTTCTTGGAGAAGGGATTGCTCGTGATTTCCCAGTGGGAAAATGGACAGGATGAGCCTGGGAGAGGTGATGGGTGTCTGGGCTGGTGGGGAGGTCTCTCCTTCCATTTCCAGTCACTGCTGCATTTCCAGGCCTGGGGAGGGAGGAGATGGGATGGATATCCCCTGCAACTCTTGGGGTGGAGATTCCCTCCTGCTCCTGGAAGAGAGAAACTATAATTAAATGGGCAAAATACACAGAATCTTGGAGCTGGAGAGTGTGGAATTCCCAGATGAGCAGCTTAAAACTTCAGCACTGAAGTTTGGGAGGGTCTGTATAATGGCACCTGGAAAAAAAGTCCTTACGCTTGCAGCCCAGCTGGATTTAAGGGGAATTCTGCTCTGGATTTGAGAGGAAGTCTGTGATGGATTTGAAGGGAATCCTGTGCTGGATTTCAGGGGAATCCTGTGCTGGATTTGAGGGAATCCTGTGATGGATTTGAGAGAATCCTGTGGTGGATTTGAGGGGAATCCTGTGCTGGATTTGAGGGGAATCCTGTGCTGGATTTGAGGGAATCCTGTGGTGGATTTGAGGGAATCCTGTGGTGGATTGGGGAATCCTGTGGTGGATTTGAGGGAATCCTGCTGCTGGATTTGAGGGAATCCTGCTCCACCAGCACGGCAAAGTCCAGGTGTTTCTGTGCAAAGGGAAGAAACCGCAGCTCTGTCCGAAGGCTGTGAAAATGGGATTAGGTTTAATCATCCCATAAGGGTTTAATTTCTGGTCAAGGAAGGTGTCGTGGCATTTATTTAAATGTTCTAACTAGAGGATGGGGGTGCTGCAGCATTTCTGTGCTGAGGGACCAACAGAAACTTGGGCTTTTTGCACATTTTTAACCACCTTTCCCATGGCTTTTCCTGCATTTTCATCACAGCAATTTCTGCTTTTGGCAGACTCGAAACTCCCCATTTAGTAACTGCATCTGAATTTCACAGTCACATTTACATACATTTACAGTTCCATTTCAGCTTTTGTTTTGGGAGAACTGCATTTCCCACCCCTCCAAAAATAAAGCAACTCTTTGCCCTCCTCACAGGGCAGTTTCAACCAGGTTTAGGACAAGATGAGGAAAACACTTTCCCTTCTTCCCTCAGCAGCTGTGTCAAGGGAAATAAGTCTTTCCACCTCCACCTCCAGTTAAATCCCCTGTTGCTTATCCCAAAGCCTTTATGGAGTTCATAACTTCCAAATCCTTGTAAACTGTGATTTTATCTTTGCCTTCTTGTGTCCTAATAAAACCCCTTCCGTGCCCTTTTTGCCCTCATGGCTTGTTTGGTTTTTTTTTCAATTTTTATCACCTGGTGAGGGACGAAGACAACGTTAAGAAGGACATAAGGGACCAGCTGGAAGATTCCAGGATCACCTACTGGAAAATCCTGCAGTAAAGCCTTTAAGAACTCCAGCCCTGCCTTCTCCAAATCTCGGCAGCTTGCAGGAGACAGGAGATATTTTAGGGTTTGGCTTGGCTGAGATTACGAGGGGAGGGAATCAAAAACAAGCGCCTGGTGGAGCTGCTATTTCTGTACCTGTGTGAGTGGATGCTGTTGGCTGAGATGACTGGGAATGTGGGCTGGCTCTGCTCTGCAACTCAACATTCCCTCTGCAGAGAGGCATCACCCCTCCGCCCCCCCATCCACCAGATAATCACCACCCAAAGCTGATTTACCAATAAAATCTCTCCTGGAGTGGGGAAAATCAAATATTTTCACAAGCAAGACAGAGGGTTTCATTGGCAAGGAGGGTCCCAGCTCCCATTTTCCTCCCTCCTGATGCCTCTGGAAGGCCGAGGAAGCCAAACACGCCCCTCCTTGGAGCTTTTTGGATTAATTGCCACCTCTGTTCCCGCTGAGTTTCGTGCTGTCCCCGTTGAGAAAGCAGAAATTTCCTCACCTCAGTCACATGGCCGGTGTTTATAAGCCCAGTTTAGAGGTGATGGAAAAACTTACATCACCCCAGGAACCCGGGGATGCTTTTTGGGTGAGAGAACGGCTGCAGGTGGGTCGTGTTGGAAGCCTGAAATGTTTCCTGGGAGAGGGAAACGCGAGGAATTTCGAGGTGGGAAAACAAGGGGAAAGGAGGCAGATGGGGAGCAGCAAGGGGCAGAGTCACCAGCAGAGGCTTTGGGGCAGCTCCTGCAGCTCCAAATGTCACGTGGAAGGACCCAGCTGGACCTTTTCTGGGGTTGTGCCTCCGTCCCCTCGAGGAGACCCCAGCGGGAGGGAAAAACAACAACAACGACCCGAAGAAAATGGGAAAAAAAATCTGGTTTTATACAGGGAGATGGGCTGAAACCTGATTAAAAAAAAATAAAAGGAATAAAGAGCACAAGATGGAAATCCAATTCTTGTTGGCATTTCACAGAATTTTGGCTGTTTTTTTCTGTGTTCCCTGAAGATTTAACAAGTTGAGATCCTCGATCAGCAACAACACCTCGTTCTGAGTGCTTTAATTGGTTGGTGTTTTTCTCCCTGACATTTATTTTTTTTTGAATTTGTGAGGGGGAAAAAAAAAAGCACAGCTTGTGGGAGTGGGTGTTATGTCTGGTTTTTAATTTAAATGGTCATTTTCCTTGCCCAGTGGAATTTAATTTGTAATAAGATAACGTTTTCTTCTCACATAAAACATCTAGTGTTTTTGGTTTTTTTTAATCAGAAACATTTGTGATTTCTCAACTGTTGCCTCAAAAAAGAGACACAAAACGTGCCTGGTCCCCTGTGAAAGGCACTGGAAAGATCCTGCTTATCTGATCTCGTGCTGTTGCCAATCCTGGGAGATGTTTTGCTGGGAAGCTTCGATCCCAAATTCAACTTGAAATTTAAATCCAAGCAGTGCCAGGGCAAGATCTTTCAGGGATTCAGCCCCGGGAGGCCCAGAAAGGAGAACCTTCCTCTTCTCATTGTTTTGGGGAGGGTTTTTTTGCGTGCTTTGCTTTTCCTCCACATCTCCAGAATTAGAAACTATCTCAGAGTTCAGGGAGGGCGAAGCAGCTGAGTTGTGAAACGAGGAGGAAAAGAAGTTTGGGAGGTGGGGGGGAGGGGAGGAAAACACACCCCCCTTTTTTTTTAGACTTCCAACTCAGACACACAAGCCCAGACACGCTGCTCCCAATTATCCCTCCTCTGACACAGCAGCCTGTGGTTATTATCCTGATCAAAGCAAACACTGCCCGGGTATAAAACCTGCCCTGGCCGAGTGCTGCTTGTTTTGGGAGCTGCAAGAAGCCACCAAGGATGAAGGCTCCTCTCCTCCTCGCCGCGCTCGTCATCGCCCTGGCCTCGGAGAGGGGTGAGTCCCCAGGGAGTGCTTTGCTCGGGGCAGACCCTCCCAAAGCCAGGGCACGGCTTTGATGGTGTGGGGTGATGATAAGAGGATTTCTCAGAGTGGATGGAGAAGCTGGAGGGTCATTGAAGTCCAGATAAGAAGCCAGGGAGATGTGTTTCCACCAGAGGTGGGATGGCTGAGGAGGAGGAGGAGGAGGCGAAGTGGGGGGTGAAATACCCACCTCAGGTGTCTCGTGAAGACCCAGCCCAGCCCTTGGAGTGGCTGAGAGCCCTCGGTGCAGCTCCGTGGGAAGGGGGTTGCTTGAGGGATCCACAGGGATATGGGGCAGTTCGTGCACTGAAGCTGCAGGTTTGACCCAGGACTTCCCACAGCCTAACCATTATTAACTGTTCTCGCTTGTTTATTGGTTGCAATTACCAACCATCATTACCTAAATCGGTCGAGATGGTCAGACCACAAGAGGAGGCAGTTGTGGCTCCCATCTCTTGTCTCTTTGAAGTGAAGCAAGGCTGGAAATCATCCCTGAGGTTGGAAATGACCTGTCAGGTCATCGGTCCTGACTGTTATCCTGCTGGGAAAAATGCCATCACTGAAAGGGTGCCCAAGCACTGGATCAGGGAAGGGGTGGGATCGCTGCCAGGGGAGTGGTGGAATCACTGCCCATGGAAGTGCTCAAAAAACATGAAGCTGTGGTGCTCAGGGACACGGTTTAGTGGTGAACACAGCAGTACTGGGCTGATGTTGGACTCGATGACCTTCGAGGTCTTTTCCAACCTCAGCAGGTTCTGCAATTCCCAGCATGGTGGATCCCAGGTCTGGGATGGAGATGCAGAGTCCCATTTTCATTCTGAGAAGTTTCTGGGTTGTTTTTTTTAAAGAGCACTGGGAACCTGCATTTCAATTTTCCTGGCTGGGCTCTGCCTGTGCCTCTGGGAGCCCACAGGGCTGGGCTGTGGGTCAAGCAGGGAAGGTGCAGCCCTGAACATCCCTCTATTTTAGGGGAAGAGTTGATTCCTTCGGCTCAGGGGGCTTTTGCCTTATTACAAACTGAATTTTTCTCAGTCTCTGCTGTAGAATTTGACCTGCAAATGACCACCACCCATGCTGGTCCTGATCTAACAGAGCCCTTCAGCTCACACTTCATTGGAGGCTGCAAATATTCTCAATGAGGGACTTTAAAGGCTTTTACACTTGACCTGTGCTAAATCACTGTGCTCAAATTGAGAAGGGTAAGGACCATAAAAGGATCTTACCAACTGCAATGACACTTTTTTAAAAGCAGCACCACCTTGCCGGGCAATCCAAGGTTGGTTCCTCTTCTGATTAAACTGGTGTCAACCCTTCCACTTCCTAATGCTTTACACATGGAAGGGGTTTACGTGTGTGACTGGAATTATCCACAAGATAATTTTCCTTGGGGAATGCTGCCCTTCAGTCAGAGCAGAGGTCCTGGTGGGTGCAGGCAGGAGATGTCCAGTGTAAAAATACACTGATTTTAGTTGAGGTAAATCACCTTAGGCCAGCCTGGTTTAACTCCAGGTTTACACCTTGAGTAGAGCACTGAAAGAAATAGTTTTTCTCCCTTTCTCAGCCCTCAAATGTCTCAGCAGGTGAAATAAATTAGAAGCGTTTTTTTCAGTAGAATGACCAAAATTGTCCTCCCTGACTTCAGGGTCTTAACTGAGCTGCCATTTAGGATTCCATCTGCTTCCAGAGCCCCCTAGGAAATGGTGAGGAAGAAACCTCCTGAGGAGAGCCAGAGGCTGGAAAAATCATCCCTGCATGGGGATGGAAGGCTCCCAGGGCAACTGGACTCTGAAATGGAGACTCCCAGCTTTGGGAGGATGGGATGAAACAGGATTTGGGCACATGACGAGCTCCACCATTTCCTGCATTAATTTGGGAAGTTATTCTGGGGATGGGCTTGGATTAACGAAGCTGTGTATTATTAAGGATTAAACCAGGCTATGTGTCTGGAAAATCCAGTTTGGGGACTGAGCTTTGGTGCGTTTCTGGGAGCAAAGGGTGGTTCCCAGTGGGGTGGAGAAGAAATAGCCCTGGCTGGGATTTGCAGGAGAAAAGAGAGTGAAGCCACACAGTCCTCACACAAATGGTCCAAAGGAGGGTCCCAGACTCGGACAAATAAATTTATCCATCAGGGTCAGGACGACTCTGAAGGCAAGAGCCAGGTGGGAGAACTGGTGAGGTTCTGGAGATGGAAATGACCGAGGTGGGAAGGAAATTGCAGCAGGTTTGGGGTGAGGTCAAAGAGAGCCAAGGGTGAGGGGTTTGAAACAACCATGGCAATGGAGGGAGGTGGAATCTGAGGCACTGCCAGCCCAGTTGTCTGGTCTTTGTGGCCTCTGTGGCCTCTGTGGCCTCTGCTCATGGCCATTTAGTGGGATATAATGGAGCAGGGAATGTGAGGACTACAGACCACAAGAGGAAAGGGAAGGTCAGCACTGAGAGGCCATGGAAGGAGAGAAGGGGCTGGGAGTTGGACAGGGAGAAGAAGGCAGTTTCCATGGATGCAGAGGATGAATGGTGACCCAAAAGGCATTTCCCTATGGAAACCAGTGATCCCGGGATCATGGGCTGAGCTGGAGCCAGGTCTGGGAGGACACTGAGGAGCCTGTTTGGGCCAGATGAACTTGTCTTAAGGTCACACAAGGGCAGGGATGAGGTGGGGACACTGCTGGCAAAGGTGCTGGTGAGCTTGGACAGGGGAGAGGAAGAGCAAGGAAGATGAAGGACAAGGGAGAAGCAGAGCAAGGAAGATGAAGAGCAAGGAAGGCAAAGCTAAAGGGGAGAAGAAGATCAAGGAAGATGAAGGGCAAGGGAGAAGAAGAGCAAGGAAGATGAAGAGCAAGGAGAGCAAAGCTAAAGGCCAGCGCTCCTCCAAGAATTAGATGGGTATTAACTGGCCACAGAAAGGGATATTCTGGAAATGAGGCTCAGTCTAATCCCCAGAGGGTGACATTGCTGCCGGGAGTGTCTGTGCCAGATAAAGAGATGAGGAGGAAATTCCTCTTATCATGCAAAGAAACTCTCCCCAAGGATCTCTTTGCCATGACTGGCTGTTTTAGCCTCCTCGAGTGCAAGCTGTTTGCATTCATTCCCATCAGCACAGCACTTGGTGGATGCAGAGCGTTCCAGATGTGCACATTTTGTGGAGAGAGGATGTTAACACCCATGGGTGGCTGGAAAAAGGAATCTGCTGCAGCCCAGGGGGTGATTTGCTCAGCCTCTGTCTTCTGCAGGTCCGAGATTTTCCTCCTGACACAGGAGAGCTCTGAAAATGAGACAGAAAAAATCATGGGAAGGTTTGGGTTCGAAGGGATCTTAAAGATCACCCAGTTCCAACCCCCTGCCGTGGGCAGGGACACCTTCCACTAGACCAGGCTGCTCCAAACCTTTTCCAACCTGATCTTGGACACTTCCAGGGATGGGGCAGCCACAGATTCTCAGGTCCAGTGTCTCCATTACAAGAACTCTCATCCACCAACCAAGGCTTGGAGGGGCCAGGCTGGAAAGAGACCCCCAAGAGCTTCACGCTGCAAGTGGCAGTAGATTGGGGTGCTCTTTCCAACAGCACCGTGGAGATGCCACACATGTAGATGGATTCAAGTCAACTAAATATCCAGCAGGAAGATCCCTGAGGGTTCCTAAAGGAGCAAAGCACATCCTTCAGGAACAGGAATTTGAGTTAAACTAACCTGGCTCGCGGAGAGTCGCCGGGGCCAAGTTTAACACACGGAGGTGCTTGTCAACCTGTGGCCACTGGGCTTGGCAGATCCTCCGTCCACCGCCAGTTTTGTGCTCCTGGGGATGTTTCTGGAGGTGACTGATGGGCGTTCTGTGCTTTTTTTGACAGCTTCCTCTTTGACGTGTTTCTCGTGCAAAGACGAGACTTCCAACATCCACTGTCTCAGCACGACCAAATGCTCTGACAACGAGAAGTACTGCCTGACCACCTACTCCACCACGGGCATGGGTAAGTGGGGAGCTTCTCCCAGGCTCTGATGGCGAGATGGGGATCAGGGGGAGGCTGATTGCAGAGCCTCCTCCCACCAGGAGGTGTGGTGGAAGAATTAATGAGGGTTGTAGCAAACCTTGCAGAACCCAGAGGTTGTCTGATTAAACACTCCCAGGAAAGGGAGATATCCCAATAGAAAGAATTTCCCTCCACAAACCCCTTGTCTCAACTCCAAGCTCAAGCATGTCCTCTCGAGGGGGTGGAATTAAAAAGGGCCAGTCCCTGTGGAAGGAGCGACCCCAAGGCGCGGTGACGACATCTCGGGATTGCACTTCATAGATGCCTCAAAACCCAAATATTCGTGCCCAAAGTTGCTCTCAGCTGGCCCTGAAACAGGCAGAAAGGTCATGAAGGCTGGAGATGGTCTCCAGAGGTCACAACATACGCAAATAATGGTACAACCAGAGGGGAAACCACCAGCAGCAAGCAGCAGTAGACTGGGCTCTACCACTGGATATTGCATGTGTACGTGATTGCTGAAGCCTGAAAAAAAAAGTGGGATAAAAATCCTGGTTTTTCCCGCTGTTTTTTCCTGCAGGCAGTGACAAGAGCCAGCGCATCACCAAGAAATGCTCCGCATTCTGCCCGTCCATGAACCTCAACATCGGCATAGCCGGGGTCGCCACCAGCTGCTGCGAGACCTCCCTGTGCAACATCAGCGGCGCCGGCAGCGTCAGAACCAGCTCCACCATCATCGCCCTGGGCCTCCTGGCCAGCCTGGCCTGCGTCCTCAGGATGGGCTTTTAAAGGGTTTCTGGGAGGGGGAGGTGTAAGGAGGCCTCACGTCCCATCAGGAAGTGTTTTTGCCCCGATGGCAACGCCCAAGGGCACTGCCCTACCTCGAAACGGTGCTTTTGGAAGAGAAAGGCATGATGTGGAGCCCCCCACGGGCACCGTGTACCCCCATCTCTCTCCTGCTATTGGAATTTCTAAATCAGAGCAGGTTTTCCCCTTCATTTTGTGCCTTTTTTTTTTTTCCCCCCCTTTATCCCGTTTTCTGCCCCGCCTCGTTTTGCTCCGAGGAAGCCTTTACTATCAGAGTTGTTAAGCAGCAAGTGGGCACAATAAAGTGTTATTTTATTCTCTCGTGTGGTTGTGTGGTGTGGGACGTGGGGAGGAGCTGTGGGACGATCCATGTCAGCAGGAATGAAAGTGGAGGCTGCAAGTGGATGGGAATAACGCTGGAATATATTCAAATTGCTCTGGAAGCCTCTCCCCAGACTTGATTTTTTTTCTGCATTGGCAGAAATGTCATTTTTTGTGACTCTGTTTCAGAATAAACTCTGTTTAACTTACTTTCAGTTCCTCTCCTGGGTCAGCTGCTCAACAAACAGAGGGGACAGGGCAGGACTCCACGGGAAGGGAACCCAAGCATTAAGTTTTCTTTAAACTGGTCGAAGATCTTCCAGTGGAAATTGCTTTATGGGAATTAAGGATTATCCTGAAAGGGCAGAAAAGCACCTTGCACAGTGCTGAAAGGAAAACCATCAGGAAAGACCGCTGGAGTTTGGAAATTCCAGCCTCATCTGCAACAAAATATGAATTCGGAAAATAAATCATTTTAGGTTTGGCAGCGTGGGTAAAATTGAAGGGACTCCTCACCCTGCACTGCCCTTCCCTGTGGAAAATCTTAGGAATGAGGGTTTTGCTCAGTCAAAGCCTCCCAAAGTGAGTCAGGGGAGGGTGAGCTGCTTTCTCCTGAGCAGGGCAGCTCTCCCCAGGGATCGCCCCAAGGAAGATCTCCTGGGATAATTAGTTGGGTGCAGCTCACCCAGCTGGTTTTCCCTCTGTGGACTCATGTCATGGGGGGAGCAGCTGCATTTTCTGCTCCCTCTGATGGGTGTCTGCTCAGAAACAGCCACGTCTTTATTATTTTTAACAGATTTTCAAGGGCAACTTGACCTCAAGACCAACTTATCCTCACCTGCTCTCAGCCCTTCCTCCCATCCACATCCCACTCCCAGCTCTGCACTCCTGGCTGTTTTCTCTCCTAGTTTTCCTCGTTGGCTTCTTCATCCAGTCTTAATCCCAGTTTTTCCACCCAACCTCTATTTTCTTGCTACAGCCTCAGCTCAGTGCTTTATCCTGGGTGTAAAACCTAGGTTGGCCAAGGATTCTCCATCTTTAGCCTTGAGACTCCTCCCTCTCCTCATGGGTTTTATCATCCAACCTTCCATCAGATTTACCCTCTCCCTTTTTCTTCCCCTCCTGCCACATTTAGAGATACTCAAGAGACACACAGATGTGACCACCCCACACGAGCCAAGAGCTGTTCCGTGGCCTTGGGTGGCCAAATTCTGCCCCACGCCCAGATCGCAACGTGACAACAACTGAACTATTTCGAATAATCCTCAGCCTTTGCCTCCCCACAGGTTTAGGATTCCTTAGGGACTGGGAAAGGCCAAGATGGGGTTATTGAGGCCCCAGGTCTTGCTGTGCTGAGCTTGTGAGCTCAGGCCAGCTCTCGGCAACGAGGTTTAAAACCAGGTCGTGTCTTGTGCTGCCTGAACTTGGCAGGTGCCTCTGTTTTAGGGTTGGGAAGGAACCTGGCATGGCCAAGGAGAAGGAGGTAGGTGGGACACCCTGCTTCTTGCCTGATTCCTCCCTGATCCCACAGGTTCCACTCCCCATCAGCAGAGCCCCGTGGGTTTGGTCCAAGGCTGACACACAACTCGAGCTCCTTGTCTGGAGGTGGGAGCTCAGACGCCCTGAGGCACAGGAGGTCCTAAAAAACATGGAAGCTCCCTTGGAGAACCCTCCCTGGGAGCGCTGGGTAAAGAGGAGACTCTCTGTCAGCCTCCCTGAGGAATCCTGAGTGACATCTCCCGCTCAGGTGCCAGTTCCTGATCCCACATCCCTCTGCCCAGTGTTTCTGTTGGATCCCGAGGCTTCACCCTCCTGGTGCGTTGAGGGTGTTGAGCTGCCCAGCAGAGCCACCTGGGATGCCTGGAGGGCTCTTGGGAAAGAGGTGGGAGTCTCATTCAAATAGCTGGGATTGCTCCCAGGAGGGAACTGCCTCCCTCTCCCTGTGGATTATATAAGGGTTCAGTTTTTGGCGCTCTGAGTCGCTGCACTAAGTCCTGCATCAACCAGGGACACCTTGCCCTGCCTAAATTAGGAGGTGCTTTGACTTTGGCCCTTCTTCTCCTTCACTCAGGGCTTTATCGCTGTTGGTTGTGAAGGATCTGTGCTGCCTTTCTGCTCTCCTTGAATAATTTGGGTGCCTTTTCCCTCACAACGTGAGATTTCTCCCCCTTTTCCCCCTTTATCTGCCCAGATCCAACCAACACCCAGGGACTCAACGACAAAGGAAGAGATGGGATGGATCCAAAAGACCAAAGCAAGGTCTGAAAAGTTTCTGGAAGCCATGGCAAGGGACAAAAGTGACCCTTCTCCAAAATTCACTGCTGCTCTGCTGTCATACAGCCAACTGATGGCTCCAGTTTGAGGTCCGTTGCCAAATCATGGTTCCAATTTGAGATCCATTTAATTTTCCCAAATGGATGGTGATGAGATGACTCCACAGAGGTGACTCAGTTTCCTTGGGGTTTTTTTGGTTCCAGTCTTCCTCAGTCTTGCTCCTCACTTGGTGGCCCTGGTGTGCCCGCAGGATCCTTTCTGGATCCTTAAGTGACGCTTTCGAGGTTCATAATCAGCCCTCTTGAGAAAGAAATCTCTCTTCCCACTCTCCAGACACTGGGAAGAGGGAATATTCCAGTGTCAGTACACCAAGGAAGGCATGAATGTCCTGGAAACGGCTCCCAGATAAATTTTTGACGTGGAAAAGCTCTTTTCCAACCCAAATTTCCCTCCTTGGATGTGCTGGGGATGCTTTAACATCACCTCTCCTCCAAAGTTGATTTTGTCCCATTGCAGGAAGGTTCATGTAGGAGTAAAATGGGTGTTGGGAAACTCAACAAGGCTTTTCAAAGCCAGGTTGGACAGGCCTTGGAGCACCCTGGTCTAGTGGGAGTTAAATGAGATGATCTTGAAGGTCCCTTCCAAACCAACCCAGTCTATGATTCTCCGAAAGCCAACAGGAGTCTGTGGGACAACCAGGACCAAAAATAAGGGGGTAATGGTTTCTTCCTTGCATCCTTGTTTGCAAAATCTCACCAAGAAGCCACACCCACTAATTAAGAAGGAGAACCTGTTTGTGACACCCTCGGTTATAAAAGTTGCCCTCTTGAGCAGCACCAGGCTGGGTTTGATCGTCACCAGGTCCTTGTTGACCTCAGCAGCCTCCAAACCCCGGAGTGGGAATGTCCAGTTTGGCATTAGGCTTGAACAACCCTGGAATTCACCACTGGATGACGCCGTTCCAGGAGGAGATCAGGAGGGCCTGGAAAAAAAAAAAAAAAAAAAGCATCTGACACTCCCATGGATGAGAAAATCATCCAATGTGGGGATGATTCACCTCAGAGACAGATAAAAATCCCCTCCTGGTGGCTGCATCCAGGGAATTCCTGAAGTTATTCTGCAATTGCCAGGAAAAAAAAAAATAAAAAAGGAGGAGTTTGACAATATTTTCCTTTGCACATTCTGCTCTACCTGCTGTCCAGGAGTGATTTGAGCTTGGAAGAAGCTCTGTTGGGATGGTAACTCCTGATGCATCATCGGGTTCCTCTATCCCAGACTGTCAGAAACCATTTTTTAAGAAATTTAGAGGAGAGAGGATGGAGTTGAGAGGGGAGAAATTAAAAAAGAGGCAGTTTGAGAGGTGGCTCTTTGCAGAGCAGAGCTGCAATTCCGGGGAGCCAATTTCTGGTTCCGTAAATGGAAGTCTGATTTCGAGAAACTGCTGGATTTCTGCTGGAGAAAATCAGCCCCTCTGAAGGATCCTTGAAAGAGGAGCCAGAGCTGATGAAATAAAAAGCGCACGGGGGTTTTTGAGGATTACAAGCGAGAAAAGGGGGATTAAGGGGAGCGAAATTGATAAAGAAATGAGGAGTGACGTGAAAATTGGAGGCAAATCTTCCGTTTAACCAACCATCGGATGATTTAACGTGGTGTAAAACAGGCTGATTTTATTTGAGGGAAGGCAGCTGAGAGCCTGAGCCTGCTCCTGGTGAATGATTCAGGGGAAGGAACGCTACAAACCCTGATGCATCAGGGATTAGAAAAAGTCATGGCTGGGACTGTATCCCTGTGCCCACAGGGCTCTGCTGTTGCTGAAAGGGAATTTTTTTCCCCCCAAGGTACCGGGTTGTTCCGAGGGCTCCAGCCTGGAGAACTCCCACGTGAAACACCCCACGCCCGTGGGCTGAGTGGGTGTCCACCCGCGGGAACCTGTAACACTGCTGCCAATCCACGGGTATAAAACCTGCCCTCCAAAAACACCTTCCCAGTGCTGCTGGGAGGATCTGCTGGAGATGAGGGCTCCTCTCGTCACCCTGCTGGCTGCTGTGCTGTGCGTGCAACAAGGTGAGTTAACATCGGGGGGTCACGGAGGAGGGGAGGACAAATTTTGCAGGTGGCAAAAATTTAGGGGGTTGTCCCCGGTTCTGGGGGGTTTTGTTGACAGCAGCTGCCTTTGGCAGCTCCACTGATGACCTTTTGCATGGCAGCTCGATGCAGGAATAAGGTCTTGATAAATTAATCTTCTTTCCAGTGACAGAGCTCCAGTTGGATGCCAGGTTAAATCCATGTAGTGGTCCGTGGGATCTTCCCAAAAGCCGCAAGCTGGAAGTGCCAGAAAGCCTAAAAACCTGTAATTTTTTTTAAATTAACACCAGCTGCTGAGTATTTCAGAGACTTTTCTCTACTTCTGCTTCCTCCACTGCGGTGATCCACGTGGTTTGCCACGTGTCCTCCACCCTAGGAAGTGCAACACAGTGGGAATTTAATAGATTAAATCAGAAAGAACTCCCCCTGTGCCTTTGTCATGTTAAAGGCATCCTTCTCCCAAAGGGAAGTCTGAGGTGCTGGGAAATGTGTGTCCTCCTCCTGGGACTGTTCCATGTGTTGCTCCACCAGCTCCTTGCACGTAGGAACAGTGACCAGATTGCCAACATCTGCCCCACACCTGATGGTTTCCCAGAAACCACGATACATATCTAGCAGGGCTTGAGAAAGAGGCACCTCATTAATTCCTGCTCTCTGATGCATCAACCCCCTTACTCCTACATTTTTGGGATGGAGGGTTTTGCAGAACTCGCCAGTTTGGGGGTGGGAAAAGGACTATTTATTATAAAATATATATACATATACACAAAGGGATTTTGTGCCCATAATTTTGTGCCCCAAAAGATTCCTGAATGAACCAACAGAATGGACAGAAGAGAGTAATTTTCAAGGCAACATCCTCAGGATAAAATGGGAAGCTCACAGAGATCCCAGACTCTGGAAGCACAGATTCCTGGTGGGATTCATCACCGGTGTAGTGGGCTGATGGCATCAGGTTCCAAATGGATTTAAGGAGAGGCTTTTACACCTTCCTAACCAGGTGTAGATCAAGAATAAGAGGTTGCAGTTTTCTGGCCTAAAACAGGGACAGCAGAAAACATGGAGGTAACTTGTTTGATCCTTCTCACCCATCTGGAGTCCCATCCAAGACCCCAATAACCAACTTTTGATCAAAACTGCTGATCCTTCAGCCCACCAAAGAGGGTCTGTTGCCTTTTCCACCTGTACATTCACTGCTACAGTTAAACTGTGTCCAGAAGAAATCTTAAAAGGTCATGATCCTTTCCACAGGAATTCCTCAAGGTTGGAAAAGACCTCAAGTCCTTGCTGTTGGACAAAACCAGGCAGATGTTTGTTTAAGGTGTCCTTGCAAATTTCCAGCAAGGAAGATTCCACAGCCTGGAATTGCTCAGGCTTTTAGGAATTTAGTCTTAATATCCCTCAGCATCCCTTTTTGTACAGTTCTTCCCCTGTTTTCACCACAGGACTTATAAACCAGTTTATTATTTTCTCCTCCGCTGCTGCCCTCCCTCGGCACGTTCCCATTTCTAATAAGCACTCCAAAGGCTTCCAACTTTTTCTAGGAGGTCACATTTCCAGGACTGTGGTCAGACCCTTTCTGCCCTCTCTGTCTCCAAACGCCCTGCGCAGTTTTTGAGGAGCCGCAGACGGATTTGGGCACTGGATTCGGTCGCCGGTGTTCCAGCTGGGGCTTTGCCAGGGTGGAAAAGCCACTTTGCATATCTTGCACATGACATTGTGCCTGTGTTCCCTTGGGTGACGTGTGTCTCCGTCCCTGGAATGTGACACTCTTGACTCCTGCTGTTTGAACCTTGTGCTTGATCATAACCCAACCACTTGTTCGTCATCTGATGTGCAAGTGTCTAATTTTTATCCAAGTGTGACTCATTTCTCTTTGTTGAACTTCATCCACTGTTTGTTGTTCTTTTTTCCCCCCGCCCTTTTATTACGTCTGTCTGTCAAAATCGCTTGGAATCAAAGAATCTTGGAATCATGGAATCACAGAATTACAGAATGGGTTGGAAGGGACCTGAAAGATCACCTCATTCCAACCCCCCTGCCATGGGCAGGGACACCTTGCCCCAGACCAGGTTGCTCCAAGTCCTTCCCAACCTGGCCTTGGACACTTCCAGGGATGGGGCAGCCACAACTTCTCCACAACCAGGACCTCACCACCCTCACACTAAAGAATTTACTCCTAACATCCAATCTAAACCTATTCTTATTTTGAAGCCATTCCCCCTTGTCCTGTCACTTGTTTCTCCATGTTTCTTGTAGCTCCTTCAGGTACAGGAAGGCCACAATCAGGTCACTCTGAAACCTTTCCTTCTCCAGGCTGAACAATCCCAGCTCTCCCAGCCTTTCCTCCCAGCAGAGCTGCTCCATCCCTCTGACCCTCTTGGTGCCTCCTCTGGACTGGCTCCAACAGCTCCATGTCCTTCCTGTGCTGTTCCCCAGGGCTGGAGGCAGCTCTGTAGGTGGGGTCTCACCTGAGAGGGGGCTGGAGGGGCACAATCTCCTCCCTTGACCAGCAGCCCACACTGGATGCAGCCCAGAATTCCTGAACTCTACTTGCAGCACTTACAGAACTCTACCCACAGCATCTTCTCACCTTTGTTGTCCTTGGTACCTTCTGCAAACATGATGTTCATCCTCCATCCCACTCCTGCTGTCTCCAGGGATGATGCTGGACAGGCCTGAGCCCACAGCAGAGTTCTGGAGCTGCCTTGCTCCAGCTGGTTTGATTTCCACTAATCATCTGGAACTACCCAGTCAGATGGTTTCCACATCTGGCTTTGCACCCATTTTGGGGCATTTTCACTGGCTTGTCTTTCCTGCTCTTGCCCAACACAGCATCACTCAAGACTGTGCCAAAAATTTGGCAAAACCCCACTGGGTCTCCTCTACTCTGCACGTGAAAATTCAGCTTATAGTGACAAAGCAAAGAAAGATTCACATTGTTCTGACCCTCACAGGATCAGCAACTGAGGACTTTTCCCTTCCCTTCCATCACAACCTTCTCATTTAATGATCTGACCTTCGTTGTCCTTCCACGTTCTCACTGCCAGCTCCTTATCGGGCAAAGCTGCCCTCCCAGGAACATGCCCTCGGGTTGCTTTCTGCCCTTTCCACCCTCACAGACTGTCCCCAGGCTCAGCAGCAGCTCACGTGGTGCTGTGCTTGCTTCCCTGCAAAAACTCTCCCCCCTCCTTCCCACAGAACCACCCGCTTTGCTCTGGGTGATTTCGTGAGCCCAAAACTCAACCGCCACCATAAAATCCTTCAAACCACCTGCCCAGCAGACACTTTGGTGTCTTCTCTCACCCAGACAGCGTCTTTGTTCTTTTTCCTCTTTCCTTTTACTTTCCAGAGGTCTGTCCTGCCCCGTTCTGGCTTTGAGGGCAAGTGTGTAAATTGCTGACAGGGAAGACAACTCATCGCTGCGTGATCTTGCGGCCGATCCTCCACCAGCGTTGCAGATATGAACTACCTCACCAAATCTGCCTTCACCACTTCAACCAGGCTTTTGGTTAAGACTTTTCCACTCATTCTCTGTTTCACACTACAACAGGAGCTTGGCAGAGCATTTGGCAGCTCTCCCCAGACTTCCTAGGACTGAGGTCAGGCCAGGTCAGTGAGCAATGCCCGACCTCAAGAAAAGAGATGTGACAGCAGTGCCTGAGCCAGATGAAGGACAAGTAGGACACTGGGCACTGTCCACCTCCTCCCAAAGCCCCAGGCACCCTCAAATTCTCCCTGCCAAGCCCTGCCTGCTGTTGCCCAGGAGAAACCACTGGGCAGGAATTGACAACTCACGTGGCAGAGCCCCGAGGACGGAGACACTATTTATTGCTCGGCAATAATCTCCAGCATAAAAGGCCCCAAATCCCTGAATTCCACTCACATCTCCTGCTCCCAGAGGTTGCAAACAGATCAATAAAACTCCTCAGCCTGAGGCACATGAGACAGAGAGGGATTTAGCACAACTGCCACGGGTCAAGGGATAAAGAAAGTCAGTGGTCACCCGCACACAATCATTCACCAACAAGGAAAATGGAGATCTCTGGGCTCCAGCTTTTGCAGTGCTTAAACCATGTCATGTGCTTTCTCTTCTTCTTTTTCCCCCAGCTTATCCATTCATGTGCTACATCTGCCAAGAGCAGGAGTCCAACAAGGACTGTCTGACCATTTCCATGTGCTCCAAGGAGGACAGATACTGCGTGACCGTGAGGAAGGACGTCAGCACCAGTACGTTCCTGAGCAGCACCTTGTTTGTTCTGCAGAGGAGCAGCCCCAGGAATGGGCTTTCATCCCAGTCATGGAAACAATAGGCCTTGATCACCAGCTTTTAGGGAGACATCGACCTTTCCTGGCTCCCTTTTGCAGTCACTCAGTGCCGGGAGGTGGGGAATGCTGGAGACAGGTTGAGCGGCACCAGGGAGTGAACTCAAGCCTAGGGACAGAATTCATGGGCATTTTTCAACCCCAGAGCTGTTTTTAGAAGTTTTTGGGCAAAACTGTTCCGTGGCTGACTCCCTGTGCCCTGAACAATCCTTCAGGTCTGTGCCCTCAGAGACCTCCAGGTGCTCTCAGCCCAAACCTAAGGTCATGCAGAACATTCCCCCTGGTTTTGTGCTGTAGGAAAAACCATCCTGGTGGGAAGTGACCCACCTTGGGCATCAGTTCAGGGAGCTTGTACTGAAAGGCATCCACAGGTGCTGATTCCTTCAGGAACAGAAGAAACCTGGAGCCCAGAGAGGATCAGCATCATGTTGGTGGACACACAGGGTGGATGTGACCACACTGATGCTGGTCCTGAGCAGAGGACCAAGTCATGGTTGGACTTGATCACCTTAAAGGTCTTTTCCAACCTTAACAGTCCTAGGATTCCATGACACTGTGGCTGCCCCATCCCTGGAAGTGTTACATGTTGTTCTGAGCAACCTGGGCTAGTGGAAGGTGTCCCTGCCCATGGCAGGGGGTTGGAATGAGATGATCTTTAAGGTCCCTTCCAACCCAAACCATTCCAAGATTCTGTGATTCATTCCACGAAATTTGCCTTGAGCATTGGTGCCTGCCCTCCTTTTATTCCCCAGCACAGATTTAGCCATGAAAACAATTTAACAATGATATTTACATCCTGCTTTTCCTTTTTTTTTAACCCCCTTCTCTTCTCCCTTAGAGCCCAACAAGCCCAAATACGTCATCTCCAAGATGTGCTCTCCAACGTGCCCGGCCGCAAGTCAGCACCAAAACCAAAGCTCTCAGAGGGTTTTCTGCTGTGAGAAACCCTTGTGCAACGTGAATGGAGCCAGCAGCAAGCAAAGCAGCTTTGGGGTGATGTCCCTGGGTGTCCTGGCCAGTGTCACCTGCATCTTTGCGTGTGGACTGTGACGGGTTGGGAAAAGCTCCCCAGGATGGCTTTGTTGGCTGAAATAAAAGTGGGATAATTTCTGCTCTCGGAGATCGATGTTTTGTGGCTCAGCTTCCCCCAAGGGTTTTTGACAGAGCCTGGATAAGTTGGGTGCTGAACTCCTATTGATTCCCTAAGCCTGCTTGAATCCAAAGCGTCCCCAGACACTCAACTCACCCAAGGAAACCCATCAAAGATGAGCCTTTTGACATGTTCAGGCTGCCAATTGTTTATTGCTCTGAAGAGATCCTTGAAGGCACCTTTTTGTCTGTTTAAGTTTCAAAGCAGTGTGAGGAGTAACAGCCCACCCTGGATAAAACACAGGGAATGGCTCTGTCAGCACAGAGGGATGATCAGGATCTTGTGTTCACAGGGAGTCTGGGGAGCACACACCAGTTTAGGAACAAGGAAGAAGACTTAAAGTGTTTTTTTCTGGTAGCATTTTGGGCATTTTGGATATTTTTTCCAGCCTCGGTGGGGAGCAGTTTCTGCCTCTTTGCTCTTGTTGAGGTGTTATCCCATTTTTAAATGACCAGCCTTTATCAGCCATGTGAGAAAATGGGGAAAGATGGAGAAAAAGGAGGAAAGGCAGAGAAAAAGGGGGAAAGGCAGAGAAAAAGGGGAAAGGCAGAGAAAAAGAAAGGTGGCTGAGAGAGGGAAAAGATGGGAGGGATTGCCCTCACGCTGCCTCCTCCTGGACCTGGTCCAGCTGGAAAACACATCCCCATATCTATTTCCCTCTTTTTTTTTCCTCCAGGGCCAAACCAACCTCGCAGCTGTTGCCAAGCCCAGTCATTTAGAGCTTTGGAGCTGGTTGCTACAATAACCACGTTCCCTGGCACAGAAACCACCGATTGTGTCGGGCTTTGTTCTGCTTTGCCCTCCCCGCAGCTGAGGGGACACAGAAAAGCTCTGTGGGAGGCCTGGGAGTGTCACAGAGAAGAAGGAGGGCAGCCAGCCAGGCCCTGACACAACCAGCTCAGAGCCCCTTGGGTCATAGCCCTGCTGCAAGCTCGCTTTTCCTGGAAAACACACACAAAAACAAGGGGAATCTGGCAGCATCACCGACTCAGCTGCGCTCTGGGAGAAACCAGAGCTGCTCCAAACGATTGAAGGGCGGGTTTGTTGGGTTTTGGGTTTTTTTTTTTTCGGCAGGATGAGATGTTGTATTTGATGGCTAAGTGAGATCTTAAGCAATGCCTTGGGACTCTGCTCTGTTTTGGTGGAAGGTTGTGCATTTTGGAGATGTTTCACGTTGCTTGGATGACAAAGCAACTGGTTTTCCAAGATCAGCCAAAGACAGCACATCAGCTCCGTGTTCTGTGCTGTGAACTCTCAATTCTGGTTCCTGTTTTTAAACATTTTGATCAATAGATGCAGGGAAATGAAGCAAATTAAGGAGGTGTACCCACACTGGTGGGAAGGGACAAGAAGATACTGCCACTCTGCTGTGTTTTAGTTGGACACGTGGAAAGATGTGAATTTTGGAGACATTTCAGGCTGCCTGCATGACAAAGCAACTGGTTTTCCAAGATCAGCCAAAGATGTGAAATCAACTCTGTGTTTTATGCTGTGAACTTTCAATTCTGGTGCCTGATTTTAAACATCTTGTTTAGTGGAATTCCGAGAGGATGATCAGCCAAAGATGCCAAATCAACTCCATGTTTTGTGCTGTGAACTCTCAGTTCTGGTGCCTGTTTTTAAACATTTTGTTAAATGGAATTCCGAGAGGATGATCAGCCAAAAATGCCACAACAGCTCCGTGTTTTGTGCTGTGAACTCTCAATTCTGGTGCCTGATTTTAAACATTTTGTTTAATGGAATTCCAAGAGAATGATCAGCCAAAGATGCCAAATCAGCTCCGTGTTTTGTGCTGTGAACTCTCAATTCTGGTGCTGGATTTGAAGCAAATGAAGGAGGTGACCCCACAGCGGTGGGAAGGGACAAGAAGATGCTGCCACCCCCTGATCTGAGCACACTGGGGAGCTGTGATGACAGATGTCAAAAGGCCCAAATGGGAACCTGCCAGCACAACAAGCTGACCATTTTCCCTCAGCACAAACAGCCACAAAAAGGAAGGAAATTCATGGTGCAGAAGTAGAAAAGTAAGAGATTTTATACTAAGAAGTAGGAAGAGATGGTGAGGGCAGGGCTGGCAGCTCTGGTAGGGGCTGTGCTGCATCCCAAGCCATGAGCAAGTGCTTCATGGATACCCAGCACAGAGGGAAGACATTTTTTCCCTGGAATACCTCGAGTGCCTTCAGAAAACTCCAGGAAAGTTGGGCTCTGGGCCAAAGCTGTGACTTCTCCTCCTCTTCACCATCCTGTTTTCAGTGCTGCCACCTGATGGGACCCACAACAAGACTGAGTGGAAAAAGCAGTTCCTCGACCTCCTTGTCCGCAAATTTAGAGGAATTTCTTGCCTTGGAATTTCTGGATGCCAAAGCACCAGGATTTAAACTGTTTGATGCCGTGGAGGTGAAGGGACTGAATTTAAAAGGATTCACCTGGTTCCTGGAGTGAAAGCTCACAGCTGTGGGAGCTGAAGGTCTCTCAAAAGTGAGTGCTGGGGGTGGGATTTAGGAATGGACTTTGCCAGGGCTGGTGCTTTGAGTGGGAAAATCCCTGAAACTCTTTCAAGTAAAGAAGGAAGAGGGACCTCCTTCTTGGCTGGAGGTGAGAAATGGCCCAATGAGAAGGTCACAGCTCCTTTTCCACACTGGTATCTGCCTTTCCTGGGCTGGAGGAAGAAGATCAGGGCTTCTGTGGCTCAGAACTTTAACCACAAAAAGCCAATTCTTCTCTTCCCCCCTGGAAAAAAAATCCAGTATCTGTCACATCTGCCTTTTCCAGTGAAGCTGCACCGTGAGGTTTGGTTGGTGGTTCTTTCCAGGCTGGCAGGAGAAGACATCCCAGGTGACACTTGAAGGTGCCACATCCAGGGTCAGGAGATGTGTTTGGCTTCCAGCCTGAACTATCTGGGGAGTAAAAGGGAGGACAAGTGTGGAGGCACCACCCATATTTAAGAGCAAGAACAATTTTGCTGCCACGGGTGTTAATGAGGTGAACCAATTAACACATCAAAAGCAAGGAAAAGTGATGTTTTGCCTGTGAATATGCACATGGCTGAGGGATGTGGTGGTGTCCACGAAGAGGCAGTGGGAGAAGGGATCTGTGGATTCATTGGAGATACCAAGCCCAGCCTGTTCCTCCTGCTCCTGTTTCTTCACAGCAGGGAAATCCGGGTGTTCACAACAACAAATCACAGACTCACAGAGTTTAGGGTGGAAAAGACCTCCAAGATCATCCAGTCCAACCTGTGACCCATCCCCACCTTGTCCCCCAGCCCAGAGCACCGAGTGCCACGTTCCTTGGACACCTCCAGGGACTCCCAACCTCCCTGGGCAGCCCCTTCCAGTGTTTAACAACCTTTTCCATGAAGAAATGCAGCGTCCATCAACAAAAAGGGGGCTGGGGACACTTGGGGGACATGCAGAGCTCAGTGGTGAGGGAAAAAAAAGCTCTGAATAAAGACCATCAAGCAATTTACAGCGGCGTGAGGAGATGCCAAGGAGATGGGGAGGGGGGGGTGGTGAGCAGCAGGAATTTAGTGACAGGTGGGTGTTATTCCCAACTGTGACAAGATAACAAAATGTGGATTTGAGGTAAAAGTGGTGCCTGTCACACAGCTCAGTGTTAATGAAGCTTTTGGCACCGTGACACGTGATGGGCTCAAAACGAAAACTAAGGAAACACAGTGTAGCTACAAATCCTGAGCAGAATAACCACCAGCAATCTCCTGTCAGGCTGGAATGATCCATTAAAAAGGGTCCCCCGTGGCTTGTCTCGGCTCTGGGATGATGCAAAGTTCTAATTGCCGGTTTGAATGACGGATTAGACAATAAATTCCTCGAGCTCCCGGGTGCCAAACGGAGAGAACCTGCGAACGGGAGGATTTTGGGGGGATTCTGAGGGATCTGAGTGGCAGGCTGAGAAATAAAGAGGGGGGTAATTCAGGCAGGACAAGCACAAAGCTCTGTGGTTGATGTGGAGCCAGCACAAATAGGGGATGAGGAAATCACCCTGGCAGGAGAAGAAGAGGTGTCACATCACAGGGTTAACACGTGCCAAACTTAGGGGGAAACTGTGGAAACTTGCTGGAAATTGTTGGAACTCTAAAACCCTTTGTGCTGGGGGATTAAACTGGTGTGAGATGGGACAGGATCCTTCCAGGCTCTTCTCCAAAGGGTTGCTCTGTTCCCCCCACTTTTTGACTCAGGGTTCACGCAGCGCCAAAGAGGATTTCAGGTAGGATCAGCAAAGATTCCTGGGATCTGGCACGTGGTGAAGGGCTGGAGAACTGCCTCCAGCATCAGCAGCTTTAGCACCACAGCCAGGATGCACCAAAGCAGAGAAGAACAGCAGACTCAGCATGTCCTTGGTGTCTCCAAGGGGCTGGAGAATGAACTCAGATGCCTCTCCTGGTTTTCTCTGTCTCCTTCCTGTAATTCCCACGTGGAGCTGGTTCCCTTCCCTAGAGCAGGATTGTGGTGTCTAAGCTTGACTTTTATTTGTCACAGAACGTTTTGGGTGGGAAGGAACTGTGAAAATCACCCCATTCCAACCCCTTTGCCACGGGCAGGGACACCTTCCACCAGACCAGGTGGCTCCAAAACCAAAAGCAGAGCTTGTCTACCAGCAAAGGTGACCCAAAGATGCTCCTCCACTCTCATCACTCTTCATCCTTCACTCCGAAGGATGTTTGTTCAACTTCCAGGACACCCCCAAGGCGTCCCAGGATCTCAGTCAGCACAAAAGTGTGTGGAGAGAGCTCTGCATAGGAATGACAGATGATTTTCCCCTCTTCCAGCTGATCTCTCACTTAGGCGAGTCCTTAAGCATCGTCATCATCCCTGGGGGGGGAGGAAGGGGGTCAGGGGTTTGATATTCCTTGGTCCAGAAGCGCCAGGAAAGAGGAGCTGGCTCCGTGCCCGGCGCTCCCAACAGCTCCCCTGGGACCTGCCTCCAACTCCAGGGCCGCCTCAGATGTTAATCAGCAATTAGAGGAGGTGCAGGCACCGCTCCTGGGAACGAGGAACTCCCCTCCGCAGCCTGCAGGAAACCGGAGTAATAAAAACTCGCTGCGAGATCTCCCGGCAGGAGAAAGAAGTGTTATCGTGCAAAGATCTCTACAAAAAAGTGGATTTTGTCTTCTCACGCTCCTCCTTAAGGGTTTTATTTGATCACAAGCACCGATATGTGGGTGAGACCTGGTGTCACTTCTACACCAGGAGGTGAAAGCTCCGCAGTTCTCCTCGTGCCTCGGAGGTTGAGCTCAAGGTAAAGGTGAAAGGTGGAAAGCAGAGCACAAAAAAAAATCCCGATTTTGCGCTTGCCTTTTAGGGCTTTTAAAGAGAGGGTTCTGTCTTGGCTCCCTTCCCCTTTTGTTTTCCCCCTTTGAGGCGAAATGGCTGAAAATTCCAGCTCTTTTGTTTCCTTGGGCGGGGTGTTTTAAGGCTCCCACCCTTAGGCTCTTATCTAAGATCGTTTTATCCGAGGTCACTTTTGACAGGAGGCAGACACAGGAAGCTCCACAGCAACCAAAACACGCCTTTCCTATTAACCCTCCATCCCTTGTTTCTTCTCAGTCCTTTCCCACCCTGGGACACCCCCATTCCAATGTTTTTTTTACACCAAATTCAACATTTCTGCTGTAAATCTCCACAATCCCTTGCCTTCAGCCCCAGCATTGTTTGTGCTGCCTCGTTGGATCCTGGGGAATTCCTTGTTTGGAGAGAGCCACATTTTTGGGTGGAAGGGATGGGGGAAGGAGTGAAAAACTTCTTCCCTCCCCAAAACAATGTGTGGATTTATCTCATTCCCATGGGATGCAGCAGAATGGCCTGTCACATGCAGCAAAAAGCACCTGGAACTTGGTTTGCCCATAAAAAACCTGGAGCAGCCCTGGATGCTACAAACACCTTCCTGAAGGTCTTCTGGGCAACTCTGATCCAGAAGAAACCAGGAGGGACTTGAGGAGGAGGAGGAAAATCCAAGGTGGGATGATGAGGAAAGGCTGGGATGTGGAGTCAGGCCTCTCCTTCATCCAGGTGGAGCAGGATGCCTCGGGGATGGTCCATCACAATTCCAGCAGTGCCAGAGCCTGTGCCAGCACCTGGGCAAAGGGAATTTTGGGGATGAGAGGACACACCCCTTGCAGCAAGGGCGGAGATCCTGGGATCTGCTCTTCCAGCCTAAGGAATGGCTCATATGTCCTCCCAGTCCTCTGCCAAACCAAGAGTCCATGTTTTACAGTGAGGTGGTTTTGGGAGGTGGGACAGGACTCGTCCACAGAGCAGTTCCCCATCCTCTCCAGAAGAAGAGGAATCAGAACACTTCCCATCTGCAGAGAATGATGCAATTACTGAAAAGAAAGGCCTTTGCCCCTTCCTGTGTCGCTGACCCGTGAGCTGTGCGAGCAGTTTTGCTCCACTAAACATCTCATTTGCAAATCCCACCGGGTGAGACCCACGGGCACAGGCCCAGGGAGCGCCACACAAGCCCTGAAAGAGAAGTGGGGTGGGGAAGGAACCTCTCCAGGTGCCCCAGAAGCTGAGCAAGCTCTTAGTGAGCCCCACATTTCAAGCCTGAACTCCTCAAGTGCCCCTTCACCCTCTCACTGCAGCCCTGGCGGAGTGTGATGTGAATTGCTGCACCCTCTCTGCTCCCCTGAGCCACGAAAGGAGCTTTGCACTCTTCATTTCCTCATTTTAACCCTACCCCTTCCTCCTCCACGTGACAGTGACCTTGAAATATTTACCCAGGCACCAGTTTGCTCTCTGATCCAGCCCCTGCCTTATCTCCTTCTCCCTTAAGAATGTTCCTGTACCTGTCTCTGCCTTTCCCTGGCACACACCACATTCCTGCTGCTGGACTCTCCCCCTGCTGCCTTTTTTACTGTGTCCCTCTTCCTGTGAAGAGATATTTTTTTGGCCTTGTATTCACAATATGAAGACAACGATTCAGTGACACCTCCAACAACCACAAACAACCCTCCAACAACCCCAAAACTCCAACAAATTTGCAAGAAGAGGCTGGAGCGACCAGGGCAGTGTTTTGTGTGTCAGTTTAGAGCAGAAATCTCTGTTGAGCTTTGCAGTCTGTCCCACACCACAGCCTTGGTAAGGAGGTGGGAGACACGAGCTTAGACCATGGAATAACGAATATTTTGAGCTGGAAGGGACCCACAAGGGTCATGAAGTCCAAGCAAGCCTTCAGGTGGACTTCCTTCCTTTCCTGGTGCATCGTCCACCACAGGGAATTGGTTCTTAGGTCACCTGTTCATTTGCAGCACCCTGTAATTAAAGCTGTCCCTGCCCAGAGTATCGGGATGACTCCGGATCCTGTGGTGGGTTGAGTCCCATGTGACTCTCAGGTCCTGCCTCTTCCTTCCTATTAGCAGAGCTAATAACAGACAGGTCCTCTCCAGGAAGCAGTGGGACTGATAATGTAATTTATGTGTGGGAGAAAACCAGGAAGCTGCAGATCCTTGGACGCTTCTCCTGGGGATGAGGGGAGAGTCTCATGGAATCACAGAAGAGTTTGGGTTGGATGGAACTCAAAGATCATCCAATTCCAACCCCCTGCCATGGGCAGGGACAGCTTCCACTAATCCAGGTTGCTCCAAACCCTGTCCAACCTTTCCTTGGACACTTCCAAGGATCCAGGGACAGCCACAGCTTCTCTGGGCAACCTGTGACAGGGCCTCCCCACCCTCCCAGGGAAGAATTCCTTCCTAATATCCAACCTAAATCAGTTTAGCAGACACTGAGGGAAGAGAAGAGCTGAAGGAACATACCTTTGCCTTCCTGACACCCAGAAATTAAATCCCAGGTGCTGCACCTGATTGCTCATGTGCAGCCACAAAAAGCCAGACAGACTCTCATGGGCAAAACCTCAACTTGTTAAGAGACAGAGCTTTTGTGAGTTTGAATTATAGTTTCTCAGTTACCACAAAGCTGAAACTTCCCAGTTTTTTAGCATTGGGTTTGTGAAACAGAGAAGGAAAAGGTCCCAGCAGCCTGTTCCAGTAGATGTTAGACCACAGAAACTCACTGCTCAGAAGGCAGCTCAAGCTGCAACACCTGGCAGTGAGAAACAAAGATGAGAGAAAAGGGAAGTGGGAGTTTGCAGGCACGGATTTGTTTCCCAAGCAGAGTACTCTGAATGCACCCCGACAAGACAGGAGCTGGAATTTCTTCTGACAAATGCATTTGCCGGGAAATGCTGACTCTGCAGAATAAACTCCATCTGTGGCATGGAGTTTGTCAAGCCTGCTTGTTTCCTGCTGGCTCACCAGCCATCTCCTCCATTCCCAGGCTTTCCAGACAGCCAGCTTCCCAGGATCCCTCCCCCACTGCCCTTCCTGCAGCTCATTTCTTGGAGGATTTAGTGATTTCTATGGGATCCACTCAATTTGGGCCACTCCAACAAACCTTTCTGGTGGACTTATTTACGCTCTGAGGCCTCGTCCTGCCAAGCAGCCCAGGCTGTCCCATGCCATCCCAGCTCTTCAAGCTTCCCAAATCCTGTATGTCTAATCCAATTTAGGCTCTGGTAAACAGATGGGGAAGTTGTTTCTTTACGCGCTTGGCTCTTGCATGGGGGGCTGTGCATGCAGAGGGGTCCTACACGAAGAGGGGGTGTCACGCATGCAGGGGTGGGTTATGAATTTGGGGGATGCTGCATGCAGGAGATCCACGCAGGGAATACGTGGGCACACAAGGAATATGTGGATACAGGGAGTGTGTGGAGGGTGTTGTGTGGGTGTGTGCTCAGGGGGTCTGTGAATGCTGAGGTACAGAGGAGGGGAGGGAGGCACGAATCGGCACGTCCTGCGGGTACAGGGGAGCCGCGGAACAGCGGGTATCGCTTGAAAAGGGCTGCGCACGAGTGGGGGTCCGGCACGCAGGCAGCGCTCCCTCTCCTGCCTCTTCCTTCACGGAAACAGCAGGGACACTAGGAAAAAAAAAAAAAAAAAAAAAAGAAGGGGTTGGGAAAACCCCTCCAGAGCACGCCTAGGGCAGAGCTCGGCCCCGCTCCCCTCAGCCGGGGCGGCCACTCCCGCCCTTTTCCCCGGCGCCGGTTCTCCCGATCGGGGAACCGAAAGCGAGCGCGGCCGGGGGGGCGGAGGGGGGAGGCGGCGAGGGGCCGGGCCCGGCCCGCGGGCGGGGCCGCCGCCCTTGCCCACCCCGGAGCCTGGCCCTGCCGCCAGCCCTGCGCTCCGCCGGCAGCCCCTGCGCATCGCCACGGCCACAGCCCCGCAACATGAAGGCGCTGCTGCTCGCCGTGCTGGCCGCGGTGCTCTGCGTGGAGAGAGGTAAAGCGAAGGAGGAGGGGGTGGCCTCCGCCGGCATCATCTCTCCCTGGGGGTATCCTGGTCCCTCGCCAGCTCTGCGTTGCGAGCAAATTGGGGGCTTTAGGGGAAGAGAGGGGAGTGATGCGTGTGGGCGCTGGAAGTTGGAGGTTTGCAGGGGGATGTAAGGGTCGGAAAGGGGCTGGCGGCGCAGAGCTGAGCCGTGGTAGGGTTTGGAGCGGGCTGGGGGGGTGTCTTCGCCAGCCCTGCCTCGGGTCAGTGTCCCTCTTGAAGCGGGAACTTCGGGGCTCGCCTGCCTCTAGGAATAGGTGAGCATCTCCAGCTGTAGCATCTCCGGCAGCGCGCGTGGATATCCTGGAGCTTTTCCCAGTTGCGGCTCGAACAAAGACCCAGGGCCGGCTCCGCTCCCCCTTCTTCGGCGCGGCGAGCCGGGATAACGGCGCTGGGATGGGCTGGGATGCAGCCGAGAGGAAGGAGGGTGGAGGGGAGATGCAATGGCTGATGGAGCAAAGTCTGGGCAGATCCACTCGTGATTCTGCCCGCCCCCCCCCGAGCATCCTTGGGGGCGATGACCCCCCAGGGGACAGTGCCCTGTGAGGAGCACCTTGGGGCTGCCACCGAGCCCGGGCAAAACCCGGGGGAGAACGTGGTTCCTGTTGCTGGCTGTTGAGCTGCCAAGTTGCCCAAGTGGCAGGGCCTGCCATCCCCTCCTTCCCGCGGGCTCCATTTCTTGACTCTCCCAACTCCGAGGGGGCCGTGCAAAACGGCGTATTGTTTCCATATGTCGCTGCTCGGAGGTGCCAAACAAAGAGCGAGCAGGAGAGTCCCGGCCTCTCGCAGCCCTTACTCGGCAAACGCGGGGCCCTTCTTGCCTTCCGAGGGCACCGGCGAGACGAAACGAGTTGTTTGCTGCCCTTCCCACTCCCCCCTCCCGGTGGGATCCGGCAATTCAAGCGCTGAGTGTCGGGCAGAGCCCAGCTGGTGCGTGCTCCGTTCCAGCGGGGAGGATGGGCTGTCCAGGCCAAGGCGGGGAAAGGGTTTCTCTTCCCTCCCCACCCCCTCGAAAAAAAACCTTTCAGCTTTTAAAAGTTAGTTCTGAGCCAGGCAAAAGGGTTTGGTGCAGGGAGTTTTATCCCCGAACGCTTCCAGCATATCCAGGGGGTGCTTCAGAGGAAAGCTTTACCTCCCGCTCCAAGATCTTGTCCATGTTATTCAGGGATCTTGCCTGTGGTTTACAATGATCCAAGAGCCATGGAAAAGGGAAGAGTTTTTGGCATCGGGACTGAATGGAAGAGCTCCCCAAGCCAGCAGCATTTTCCCTTGTGCTGCCGAGCTTCAGACTCGGCTTTTCCAGGCTTTTTTCCCCCACACACCTTTGCATTGCTTTTCGCAAGAGCGATTCACCCTCTTATCTGAAGGAATTCCCCCAAACGCTCTGCTCTGTTTTGGGAGCTCTTTGTTCCTCCGAGTAGCTGAGCAACAAACAAATAAATACCTCAATCCTTGAGCTGGCGAAAACGCGGCTTCCCTTTTGCATCGCTCGGGTTTGGGACTAATTTTTATTTTTTTTTCTTTTCTTGTAGCCTTGAGCTCCAACTCTTTCCTCCTCCAGCTGCATTAAATTAATTCTGCCACCCTTCTTGTGCCTTTTGTCTAAAACACTCAGCCTGCCTGTGCTCTCCCAACTCTGCAGGGGTTTATTGAGCTGGTTTTTGGGGGGACAAACAGTAACTGAATGTTTCCTCACTTAAATTATGTCGAAGGACTGGAAAGATTCTGTCTCTGTTGGGGGTAATAGGTGGGTGTGACAAAGAAAAACATGGGGACAGGTAGGAGATGCTGTAGATTTAGTCACATGGCAGAGAATTTCATGCCTGAATGCACTTCGGTGTCGTGGACAAACATTTCTGGTGCGTTTGTTCCTGGAACCTCTTAAGGTTTAATGAGTATCATTGAGCCACTCGTGCCTCCAGCATCATGAGCAAATCCATATGGGGACATCTGTCCTGCCCTAATGCCCACAGGAAGCCTGTAATCCCCTTCATCCCTGCTTGCAGAGGGCTCCTGTGCAATGGGATGAGTCAATTTTACCTCCTCAGGGTGGTTGCACAGTGGAGGGGTTGGGACAGGTCACCTGAGAGGGACAAAGGAGCAGATCTGGGCTCTGCTCTGACGTCCCACCTTGAGTTTTGGGCAAGCCAGGGAAGTGCTTGGAGGGCTCCATGACTCAACAGCTGGTTCCATCCTCCTCCCCCTCTCCTAAATGCAGAGCCAGGGTCCACTGAGGAATCCCTCCTGGGGTTTTTGACTCAGCTGGTGGCCCTGGAATCTTGTGTGTTGGCTGTGGCTGCCGCTCAGGTAACCCGGCTTTGTTGCAGGGATCGTTGCCAGAGTGATGATCCTTGGAGGGTGGATGAGACACTCCAGGAAATTCCTGCTCAGGGGGTTGTGGTGTTGGCTTCCACTCCAAAGCAGAGTCCTTTGGCTGCCCCGATGTGACATTCAGGACCTCCCACTAACCCACTTCAATCTGTTTCTGGGAGATTATGTTTTCTTTTCTTTCCCCTCCTTGGCTGTGGCTGCTCAAAAGTCATTCCCCTGAGAACAGCTGTTAGGGTTTTCTTTCTCAATTTTCTTGTGGAAATCTTTTATTTTCCTGAAAGAAACAGGATCAAGAAGAACCTCAACCCTTTTGTTTTCCTGAGAGAAACAGGACTGAGAAGGAGCTCAAGATGTTGTGCAGTCCTACAGCAGAGTGGGACAGCTCTGAGCATTGTTTGTCTAACTTATGCTTCCAAATATCCCTGACAGGGACTGCTGAGCTCTCCCAGGGCTTCACCAGCTTCACATCCTTGGGATAATACTTGTAGGGGCCTCCAAAAAAGCTGGAGAGGGTTTTTCTTAGTGATAGAACAAGCAGGAGTGGCTTTAAACTGAGAGAGAGTAGGTTCAGATTGGATATGAGGAAAAAATTCTTCCCTGTGAGGGTGATGAGGCCCTGGAACAGGGAAGTTGTGGCTGCCTCATCCCTGGAAGTGTTCAAGGCCAGGTTGGATGGGGCTTGGAGCAAGCTGGGCTAGTGGAAGGTCTTCCTGGGGCTTGGAATGAGATGATCTTTCAGGTCCCTTCCAACCCAAACCACTCTGTGAATTCTGTGCTAATCTGTCTGTGGTGGGAGCAGGAATGATTCTGCCTTGAACTTCCCATCCTGGATCAGCCCCTGCTCTGTTTTACATCCTGTAAACACGGAGGAGGAAGGAGGTGCCTCGTGGAAGGGCTCAAAAATCAGAGCCTCTGAAACCTTGGGAAGAGCCCTGATCTGCCTGCAGATGTAGGTCAACAACTGCAGTGTGGCTGTGATGTTCTTGTGTGCAAAATACAGAGGAGATCAAAGTCCCTGTGTCTCTGCTTGGTCCAGGCTGTTTCCACAACCATCTCCCACCCCTGAATTCCAACCTTTCCTCCTTTCTGAAGGATGAGGGATGGGAGCCAGCCAGTGCAGCCCATCCTGCTGGTGTAGGGTAAGCCATAAATGTTGTGCCAGGGAAGGTTTAAACTGGATATTAGGAAAAATTTCGTCACTGGAAAGGTGGCCAAGCATTGGAATGGATGGAATCACCATCCCTTTGGAAGTGTTCCTAAAACTTGTAGGTGCTTTGCTTAAAGACTTGGTTTAGTGGTGAACTTTGCAGCGCTGGGTTGATGGTTGGACTCTGGTGATCTTCGAGGTCTTTTCCAGCCTAAAAATGATTCCATGATTCCACGGTTTAGGTGACCTGCCTTGGAGGAAGGCATGCAAATGAATGCTCCTGCTCCAGATTGAAAAGCTTGGATGCATCAACTGCCCTTGGAGTGCTGTGACTCCCTGAGCAGTGGGATGGTGGTGCAAGTCCTTGCAGGTCTTGCTGCAATGCTGGACTTGCTCCAGCTGAGAAATCGTTTCCACCAGGTGATGCAGGTCAAGTGGGAGCCTGACCTTGGTGTCACAGAATCACAGAATATGCCCAGCTGGAAGGAACCCAGGGGGATCATCGAGTCCAACTCCTGGCCCTGCACAGGCCCAGCCCCGAGAGTCCCACCCTGGGCCCAAAGGCAGGACGTGGAAAGCTCGAATCCAAATGTGGTCACACCTGGCGTGTGTCACGGAACCATGGAATGGTGTGGGTTGGAAGGGACCTTCAAGATCATCCAGTTGCACAGGCAGGGGCACTGTGTCCGTGGTGGCTGAGCTGGATAAGCCCAAATCCCAAAAACTTGCCTCTGTTGCTCAGTTTTGAGTCGGCAACCGTGGCTTGAACTTGGTGCAAACAGGAGGGTGACATCAAGTGCCAGGCTGTGGCTGTATCAAGGCTTTAGCTGATCCTACCAGGAGCTCAAAATATATTCCTTGCTTGAACCCTTCATTAGGTCAGGTTTTTTTGGGGGGAAAAAACCCAGTTTCAGGTCGATCCAGGTGAAAAGCTGCGGGGGGATGCGACACGTCCCGCGTGTCGGAGGTGGGGACCACCAAGTGAGGAGCTCCTCCCACCAGCCTTAACCGAGGTGTTGCTTTCCTCTTGCAGCCCACACGCTCATCTGCTTCTCGTGCTCTGATGCCTCCTCCAACTGGGCCTGCCTGAAGCCTGTCAAGTGCGGGGAGAATGAGAACCACTGTGTGACGACGTACGTGGGAGTGGGACTCGGTGAGTGCCGCCAGCGCCTCCTGCCCCTCTCGGCCGCTGCCCCAGGGCACCTGCTGAGCTGCGGGGAGGCAAAAAAAGGGAAAGTTCTGCTTAGCAACTGAGCAGTCAGACCCATCCCCCGGGAATTTTGGGGAGGGACGGCCGTGCTGCCGGGAGGAGTCACGTTAAGGCCCACGTGCCGCTCCGACGCCGCGGACTCCGAGGGGAATTCAGGGAGGGGGCGGGGAGGTTGTGCTGATGAATAAGTGAAAGCGTGGAGGATGCTGCAGGATTCCTCTGTGGGAAGCTCCAGGGTTGCTACTCCTGCTTTTTTTTCCTCCCCCACCCCAACCCTTGTGTTTGGGTTGTTCATCCCCGAGTCCCTCCTTGGCTCCTGCGTTTGCCGTGGACGAGGCGGGAAGGGACGTTGGCATTTTTCCTCCCTGAGTGTCAGGGAAAGGTTTGGGAGGCTCTGAGCTTCCCAGCCGCTGCTCTGAGAGAAGCAGGATGCTCTGGGAGGTCTTGGCAGAGCCAGGATCCCATCCTGGCTGGGCCTTGCAGGAGAGGGTGGGTTGTGGATGCCTGGGAGCTTTGATAAACTCCCATCTCAGCCCAGTGCTGATGGTTTCCTCTTTGCTGCCCCTTGGTTTGGGCTGTGCCTCTCTGGAAGTGCACACTTGGCTCCCAAAGTGCCTCCCTTGAACAGCCAGTGCTCCTTGTCTCGCTTGAGGAGTCCCAGGGTGAAGCTGGAGTGAGATTTTTGGGATTCCTCAGCAGAGCTTTAGATGAACTTTGTGTGAACCAGGCCACGATAACAACTAAAGGCCAAGCTGTGCCCACTACACATCTCACACATGGGCAGCACTCAGAAAGTTTATCAAGTCAGAGCCCAGAATGAGCATCAAGGAAAGGACAAAAAGAAAGCAGAAGGGTTTTGTGTCCTCCCAGTCTCTGCTGGAATAAATGGGTGTCATTACCTGAACAAGTGATGGCACAGAGCACAGAAATACAGTTAATGAGAGCACAAACCCTTCTGCTGTCCTCAGCTGAAAGCCTCAGCTCCTGATCAGGCTCTGACTTTGCCATTGCACATTTGTGTGGGCTCTTGTGGAAAAAAATCCTGGCTGCTTTTTTTTTTTTTTTTCTTTTTTTTCCCCAACCAGAGAAGAGCCAAACTTCGCTTTATAATTGTTAAATCCAACTGAACACTTGAGCCTTTATAAATCTATTTAAGATATGTGCTAAACCAAATCCAGTGTTTAGACACAGCAGAGAAATCTAAAATTTTTTTTTCCAGTGCAAAATTTGCCCTCACACATTTCCACTCTTTTTCTAAGCCTGTCTTAGGAATACTTTAAACCTGTCTTTAGAAACATTCTAATCTTGTCTTTAGAAACACTTTAAACCTGTTTTGGGAACACTCTAAACCCGTGTCTTCAGAACACTTTAAACCTTAGTTTTTGGAAGCACTCTAAAACCTGTCTTGGAAACACCTCTAAACCTGTCCTTAGAAATATTCGAATCTTGTCTTTAGAAACACTTTAAAACCTGTCTTGGGAACACTCTAAACTCGTGTCTTGGGAACACTTTAAACCTGTTCTTTAGAGATATTCTAACCTGTCTTGAGAACACTCTAAACCTGTGTCTTGAGAACACTCTAAACCTGTGTCTTAAAAACACTTTAAACCTTAGTCTTAAAAACACTTTAAACCTTAGTCTTTGGAAACACTCTAAACCTGTCTTGCAAACACTCTAAACCTGTCTTGGAAACACTTTAAACCTGTCTTGGAAACACTCTAAACCTGTCTTGAAAACACTCTAAACCTGTCTTGGAAACACTCTAAACTTGCCTTTAGAAATATTCTAATCTCGTCTTTAGGAACACTCTAAACCTGCCTTGAAAACACTCTAAACCTGTCTTTAGAAACATCCTAATCTCGTCTTTAGATACACTCTAAACCCGCCTTGAAAACACTCTAAACCTGTCTTTAGGAACACTCTAAACCTGCCTTGAAAACACTCTAAACCCGCCTTGGAAACCCTCTAAACACGCCTTGGAAACCCTCTAACCCACCTTATTTCCTGCCTTTTCCCCCCCTTCCCCCGAATGCAGGTGGCAAATCCGGCCAGTCCATCTCCAAGGGCTGCTCCCCCATCTGCCCCAGCGCCGGCATCAACCTGGGCATCGCGGCCGCCTCCGTGTACTGCTGCGACTCCTTCCTGTGCAACATCAGCGGCTCCAGCGGCCTCCGGGCCAGTTCCACCCTCCTGGCCCTGGGAATCCTCGTCAGCCTCTTCTACGTCCTGCGGGCCCGGGAGTGACGGGAGCGTTGGCCGAGGAAGAGCCGCCTCCCCGAGGCCCCCCGTGGGTCTCGCTGGCCACTGTTCTTCTCTGTCGGTGTCTGCAAGGAGATCTTCCACTTCCCAGCAGGCTCCCGAGGCCGTGGTTTCCCAGACTTTTCTGCTCTTCCAAGCGTCGGAGCTGTGGGCTGGTCTCTCTCTCCTTGTTTCTCTCTCTCTCTCTCTCTCTCCCTTCCCGTGGACAAACCCCCGCTGCGCCCTCGCGCCTCCTTGGCGAAGGTGGATGGTTTTGGAAGGGTTTTTTTCTGCTTTTTTACCTAATAAATAATCTCCCCCCCCCATCCCACACACGTTTCTAAGGTTGGTTAAAAGCAGGCTGGGACTCGCCAAGATTAACCCCTCCCCACACCCCCCCTTCCCCACCAGGTGAAGAGCTCAGATTTTTCCTGCCTCTCTCCTGGCTCCAGCACGGGCTTTGGGAATGCATGATCCAAAGGGAGACACATTCCTGGCCCTCCCACCACCTCCCCCCGCCGCCACCACCGTCACCCCTTGCAGCTGCAGCCTCTTTTTATAGAATAATTTCGTTTCTTCTGAATCCTGGGCTGACTTTTTCTGGAAAAAAAAAAAAAAAAGAGTGACCTGTACCTTGTCCTTGCCAGCTCTGTAAGTGCCAGGCCTGAATAAACACGCTCCTGTTGTTACCTCCGGTGGGATGTGTGCTGTGTTTCCTTGCTCCAGGCAGAGATTGGGAATTCTCTCATGGAAGATCCCAACATTTGGGCCTCTCGACCTCCTGAGCAGCTTCATCTCAACGTTCCTCTTCAGCTCTGAGCAGCAAGTCCATCTCTCCTCCCTGTTGCTGTCCTTGCTGATAAACACCCCTGGGCCTGCTCGTATCGCCTCTCTCGGGAATTGCTTTTTTCCCAGGTGAATTTTAGCGAAAAATGCCAGTTTTCGAGGGCTGAGTCAACCCCTAATGGAGCAAACACAGCGGGAGCAGGACCTCTGGAAGTTCGTCTGCATCTTACAAAGACTTGGTGCCTCAGTTTCCCCAACTTTGGGCTTGTGATGGTGAGAGACAACAGCGTGGATCCCTGAAAGAACTGCCTGCAAAACTGAGTGGAGTCACAGGCCAAGACCCCAATATTCAGTTCTTTAGGCTCGACCTGCAATGCCTGGAGATGACTTCCTCATTCCTGCTGTCTCTCAGCTCCCAGGATCTTCCCAGCGTTGCTCCTGGAAGTTCTGAGCTGTCCCATGGGATATGTGTCCTCCTGACATCTCCGGTGTCACCCATCCCACCTGCTTTGCTCACCTGTGGACCTGCCAGACACAAAAACCAAGCCAAAATCCAGCCTTAAACTTCCAGGTGAAAGCTTGTTGTCGCTTCCACTGCTTGAGGTGCACTGGGGTTTTTTTTCTTCTTCCTAGCAGCAAAAAAAGGTTGTTGGCACTCCTTGGCCATGCCTTCCTCGTGGTTCTCCTGCTTGGTGTCAAAAACCAACCTAAAGCTCCACTCGCCGTTCAATTTTTATCTCTGTCCCCACTTAAATGAGTGTTGATAAACAGCTTCTTTGGAGAGATGGTGTAGAAATATTCGCAGCCAAAAAAAAAAAAAGTGGTTTGGTGGTTTTGAACCCCTCCTTCTCCCCCGTGTTTTAATTAAAATGACACGTATTAATTAAGGACGGGCTTTCCGACAGGAGGGACCGGTCACGAGGACGTGCCCTGCACTTAATGAGGAGTTTGGGAAGGGTGAATCACGTGTGTGGGTCCTCAGATGTGCCTTCCTCTGGTTCAATCATCCTCCCTCACCTCCTGGGACCTGCTGGGGCCACAGGGCCCCCCCCCCCCAAACCTCTGCTATGCACGTGGAGCCCAGGGAAAAATCGGGGGAAAAACTTCCTAAAAATAAGGTGAATGTTTTTTCCCACCTTCCCTGTGCCCCAGCCTTCCTCCCAGGAGGGTTCCAAACCTCCTTGGGTGGGGCTGTGACACCGAGGTGGCACCCAGAGTGCTCTGCCTTGTGGGGATGGGGCTGTGACTCTTTTCTGGCCACCTGATAAACAGGTTTGGGGGTTGATTTTTGGGACTCAAACCACCTTTAGGAAAGAGTTAAACTTCTAAGCTGCGTCCTAAAGCCTGGCCGTGCCTTCAGGAGGCTCCTGAAGGTGCCAGACCTGAAGCCACAAGACCTGGTTGTCTCTTCCAAAAAAAAAAAGCCATTTCCTTCCTATCTCAGCGTTCCAGAGGCTGCTGGTGCCAAGGATTTGGTTCCAAAAGGGAGCAAAGGCTGGTGGGAGGAGCATTCCAAGGCTGCTTATCCCATAAAATAACAATTTATATTAAAGGCATTGCCAGGGGGACAGAGCTGAAGGTCGTTCTCTCGTGTTTTTGAGCTATAAATGATGAATAAGTTGCATATTTTGGAGATTTGTTTTCTCTCTTCACTCCCTTTTTTATCTTCCCTCCTCGTGTGCTATAAGCCTTATGGAAAAAAAAGAGATATTTTCAGTTTTGAACACATGTGCAAAGATCTCTTTGACAGATTTAAGTATCTCTTAGAGAGGGAGGGTGTGACAGCTCCTCACAGTTTAATCCCCAGCATTTTATCACCAGTTCTTCCAGCCCTCCCAATATCTGCTCCTACCACAGAGGGGCTTTATTTTGCCCCACAAAATCCCCAGAATGAGAATCCATGTGAGAACCTCAGCTGTTGTAAAACCCAGGAGGTGAAAAAGGCCTGAAAATGGGCAGCTGAAGTGATTAAAAACATTGATAATAAGACAATAAACAGGAAGAACCCCATTTTGAAGTGTTAAAACTTGTGGGTTGATGAACCAAGTGCTGGATTTGGAACTTGAGGGCCGTGGTGGGACAGCCCTGAAGTGCTTTGGGGTTGTTTATGTGGACTTTGGAATTCAGAGATGGAGATCCGAGCAGAGGAACTCGGATATTCCCCTTTTGTGACAGGACAAGAGGGTACGAGGGGAGGCAGCTTTGCTCCCTGGAAGCCTAAAATATCCTGGAATGGTTTTTACTGGAAAAGAAGGAAGAGCTGAAGTGAAATACCTGCCCACTTTGGAGCATGTTCGTGAGAGAAAAGGGGTTCAGCGCTCCCATGCTGGAAATGGCTGCATTTCAACAACCAGCTACCACCAAGGGCTCGAATTTTTGGTGTATTGACCAAAAAAATGCTCAGAATTTATTGTGGCATCACCCCTTTCCACCCAAATTCCAGGTGTTTGCTGTTTGCCAGAAAGAAGGACTTTAAAATGACCCAAGTTCTTCCGGGTGTTTTGAAGAATTGTGGGTTGTTTGTTTGTTTGTTTGTTTTTTTAAGGGCAAAATTTCTTCTTTTGGGAAAGACAAACCAGAGGTGGAGGAATTTTGTACGAACAGAAGGAATGAAGGTGGTTGTTTAATTATTACTCCAAGGATCCACCTCGTTACTCAAAGAATGTTCTTTCCTGGTGTTGATTTACTGCTGGTTGTGAGTTATTTGAAGGGATTTCTTTCCTGGGGACCTCATTTTCCGTGGAAGAGGCTTTGCTTCCATCACCCCTGTGGGAAGTCTGGTGGCTCTGTGTGTCCAGGGAATGAGTTATGGGCGTCTGTGCCCTCTGGGAAGGGCAGATGTGCTGCACATCTGGATAGGTTGGAGGTTTAGGACCCTCAGCTGGGGCAGCGCTGTGGGTCTCGGATGTTCGGGATGAAGGTGGCTCTGAGTCCTTCCCGGATCCTGAAGGAGTTATTTCCCCCCTGGGGTGGGAGCTGAGCTGGAATGGGATCACAAACACGCAGTGTGGCGTTTTTGGGAATGTCCCTGGTGGCCAGGGAAGGGAAGCCCTGGGTTGGTCCTGCCATCTGCTGGTTCTTACCAGGCTCGGTCGAGGCTTTGAAACCCCAAAACCAACCTCAGAAATCGAGGAGGAGCAAATAACTGCCCACCAAGCAGAGAATCAGCAACATCAGAGATGGATTGAAGGTTTTAATTCATCCAGCTTTGCTCTGATAGTGAAAACTTAGAAATTAAAAGCTCAACAGGCTTCCCAGGTCCAACATTTTCCAAGGGAATGCCTTTTTTTTTTTATCTTTCTAATTTTTTTTTCCCCAGCCCAAATCTTACTGTTTCATCCAAACTGAAATGGGAAAATCTAATAAGCCACTGAAGTGTTGCTGAAAAATAAATAAATAAATTTTATTTCAGCTCTGTTGGACGATCTGGTTTCACTGAGGTGGTTCCACTGAGGTGTTGGTTTTACTAATCCATAGGTGTGAGGTTTGTAACTGTGTATTGCCTTCGTTGTAACAGAATAAGCAGGAGAAATATATTCCTTTAAATATATATTCATGTAAGTACCAGTGAAGTGTATGTCACATTATTGTTTCTTATACTCTAATTAAAAAAAAAATATATAATGGAATTAATAAAAAAGAGACACTTGGAAGCAAAGTCTTTGGCTGATTCTGCAGATATTACGGATATTATTCCTTATTTTGTGTGCTTGGATGGGATTCAAAGCCCAGGGCTGGGTCAAAAGGACAGCCACGAGGCTGAGCCTATGGAATACAGGAGGGATAAATCCATCCATGCCATCTCCAGGCCTCTGGAATGTCTTCCTGTGATGGATAAAGAGCAGGGATTGTCTTTGCCTTCAATAGCTCATAAATATCCTTGACTTTGCCGTGACCCTGCCGGGAGCGGGGGTGGGATTTGTCCTTGGAGCCGCAGTCCCTGTTGGAAAGGGAGGATATTTTGGGCACAGAGTGGCCCCCACCCTGGGGGGGTGTCCGGGGGCAGCTGCTCCTCTTCCTGCACTCCCAGGGTTTGCAGGGATTGCTCCAAGCCTGCTCCTGCCTGTGGGCAGATGGACACGGGGACACACGGACACGGGGACACACAGACACAGGGACACAGACAGGGGGACACAGACACAGGGACACATGGACACGGGGACACAGACATGGGGACACAGACAGGGGGACACATGGACATAGACACACAGACACGGGGACACAGACACGGGTTTCAGTGCTCTTGTAGCAAGCGTGGGTAGAGCCCTTCTCAAATCTTTGTTTGCGAAGCCTAGCCACGATGATTGTCCCTCTGGACTTGCCTCCCCTCCAACCATGGCAAATACAGCTTTTGGAGGAAGGAATAGCTCTGGAGCTCTGGAGAGGAGTCTCCAGAAAGGTGATTCCTTGGGAAGTTTGGACGTGGAGGAGTCAAGGAAAGCGCGGGGGTGGAGAATCTGCGATTTAAAATTCGAGTGATGCTGAGGGAAGGCAAAATAAAAGAGGGCTGAACCAAGAGCTCCACCTTCCTGCCAGCACTGACCCTGTCCTCCTTCTGTCCTCCTGGTTCCCTTGCTCCCCACTTTTGAGGGCCACGTGAAGGGTGAGGATGGCACCTCCAGGTGCAGTGGGAAGGTGGGAGAAGGCTGGGAAAGTGGGAAGTGCTTTGCATGGCTGGGTGAATGCATTCCAACTTTCCTGATTATCATCTCCACAAGGAAAAGAGATTCCAGAACGTTGCATGGCACACCTTGGCCTCCTTGGGTTTGGGGACCTGGCCCTTCCTGGGATTACAGGGACACTTGGCCGGTTCTGATGATTCTGGTACCTTTGTGTAGAAGGAATTAAAGTTGCAGGAGTGAAATGTAACATTTACAGCATCGAACTCCTGGAGGCAGAGGTGTGAGGAG